CAGTACACTGGACAGTACCCAACCAACTGAGCCACAATGGCCAGGGCTGCATGTTATTTTAGATGTCTTTCTTTCTGTAAGTTTACTAATTTTCTTAATTTTTCAAAATTTTAATGATGACTATGTATTTTTATGATCAAATTTTAACTATTTTTAGTGATCTTAAGATTTAGGTACAATTCAAGCACCTTATAATAAAAAAACATACTCAGAACATTTAAAAATGTTAAAACCTTAGATTGCTATTCTGATACCAATATAAAGCAAATAGAGCATTTTTTTTAGTGAGGTTTCTGGAAGATGCAAAGATCAACAAAATCAGGTCTATGTCTCAGGGGACAAAAAATCTGGGGAAACCAGGGCAAAAATCAAAGTTTCAATAATAAAAGCTTTCATTGACAGCCAAATCAATCACACCTCCTCCGGGAAGCCCTCCCTGCCTCCCTCAGCCCAGGAGGGGAGATAGATGCCCCTGAGTTACACTTGCGGCTTGTGCTGCCCTCAGGTAGAGCGCCTGGTCTCGCAGTACTTGGACCTATTGGCTTCTCAAAAGCAGGCCCTTCTCATTTGTCACTCGTGTTCCTCAGCTTATAGTAGGTGCTCCCTAGGTGCTGCAGTGGATAGAGCACAGATTTCAGACTCAGATTTGGGTTCCAGTTCTGGTGATTTCTAGTTGTGCAACCTGAGCCAGTTAAATTACTAAACCTCCCAGTGCTTCAGCTTCCCCAGCGCAGGCTGCTTTAGGCGGTTTATAACGGGAGAGAGGGGACTGGAACTATATTTTAAAAGGTGAGCAGAATTTGGATTAGCAGACCCTTTGTGTAACCAGGTGGAAAACGATGAGAAGCAGTTAAACTAGCCATCATTAGTAAACTGTACTTCTCACTTTTCTCACCAGGCTTAGATTCGGGCCGACCTGTTGGTGAGTCCTTGGTGGGCCACTTCGCTGTTAGCACCTTGGGCAGGTTACCTTCGCTCAGGTGTGGTTTCCTTATTGCTGTGACAGGACAAGTGATGCTCGACATGCAGGGCTGTGGTGAAGCCAGAGTAGTATGTGTGAAGTCAGATCAGTCACAGGGGGTCCCACCCTACTTCGACCTTTTACATACTCCATATAGTAAAGATAAATCAGATTTATATCAAACAAATTAATCAGCTATTTTAATAAACTACATAGTAAATGACAGTGGCATTAATTTTTTAAATGTCAACTTGACATCATAGAACTTACCGTTTGTGTCATACTGTTTGAATGTCAGACCTGCTTTGTTTTTCTTTTCCCCAGATGGTATATTACTTATGGTCATGAACTCATTTGGAAGAACAGAGAGCCTCTAGTGAAAATCTGGCATGAAATGAGGACTAACGGCCCCAAAAAAGGAGGTGGCTCTAAGTAAACGGGTTGGATCCTAGTGGTGCATCTGGTCCGTGCCGCCGGAAAGCCCAGGAGCGCCTTGGCCCTGGAGCGACCACATCTCTCTGCTCCTGCCTGGAAGATACCCAGCACCCAGCTTTCCCAGCATTTTAAACTGTCTTCTCATTACAGTCTTACTAGAAAGTGAACTATGACACAGTTGTGAAATAAAGGTTTATATCTCTAGTTTGTAAACAGGGTGTGTGTCTCTTTTGAAGATAAGTGATGCTGCCCTGGAATCTTGTTACATAGTTTGAGTCTGGCTGGTGTGGCTCAGTGGTTGAGCACCGACCCATGCACCAGGAGGTCACTGGTTCGATTCCTGGTCAGGGCACATGCCCAGGTTGTGGGCCTGATCCCCGGGGGGGCATGCAGGAGGTGGCCAATCGGTGTTCTCTCATCAGTGTTTCTATCTATCCTCTCATTTCCTCTCTCTAAAATCAATAAAGGAAAAATAATAATAATAATAATAATAACAACATAGTTTAAGCTGTGAACCTGCAGGGTGCACAGGAAAAGATCTGATGGGAACTTGGAGGGGGATCTCGAATGGCTCCCAGGTTTTTCCACACCGGCCTTCTCAACTCTCTGCTGAACATTTACTCTGTCTCCCTGCGGCTTTCCTGGGTTGGCGAATAGCGAAAGTTAAGAGTATCTTCTCTCTGACGTGGTTGAGACAACAGCTGCAGTACTTTCTAAATTTCCCCAAGAAAGTGAATGTTTCCAGGCTGTGAGTGACATACACAAAAAGCTCTTTTTAGGTTTTTGTTTTCTAGTTAAAATTGTAGCTTAATTAAGACTTATTTTGGGTAAATTCAGACTTGAGTCTGTGCCTAATTGCATCTTACATTTGGAAATGTGCATGTTTGTAATCGAAGCATCATACTGAAATGGCAGAGTGGTCATCATGGTAGCTTCACTTCTGTGGAACTAATTTGCTCTCATGGTTGAGAATTATTTAAGTTTTCTTGAGTGGATTTACAGGAGGGTTTTTAGTGTATTAGTGCCTCAAAAGGTCACACCAAGTCTTCCACCTTGCACTGGAGAGGAGTGACAGCCTGGCTTGCGAGGTGCTGGGCACGGAACGTCTGGCTTGAAAGCAGTGGAGTCGTGCACGCCTCACGGTTTTGAAAGCCGAATGGCAGCCTGTACCCAGAACATAGGGATTGTCCAGGGTTTGACCCTCCCTCCCTCCCTCTCTTCCTCCTTCCCTTTTTTGTTCAGATAGAGTGGGAGGGAGAGAGAGCGAGAGAATGACGTGAAAGGGACACATCAAGTGGCTGCCACCTGCACGACCCAACTAGGGCCGGGGACAAACTGCAACCGAGGTACGTGCCCTTAGCGGGAACTGAACCCAGGTCTCTCTGGACCGCAGGCTGATGCTCTAACCACTGAGCCAAACCGGCCAGGGCTGGCATTTCTTTACATCATTTTCCCATCAAGCTAGACTCTTTTCTACTGTGAAGCACCAGTTACTTTTACCAGGCAGAGGATTCTATTCTAAACCAATGTCACTTCCAGGAGAGAGAACTTCTTTAACCCAGCCCTCATTTTGCCAGTAAGGAACCAGGGCAGGCGTGTATGGGAGCTGCTCAAGGTCACGCTGCTGTGCTTTGACATTTCGGAATACATGGTGCTAACAATCCTGTGACATGCAGACGAGGCAAGAAGTGGTTTTCAGAGGTGGGATGGGAGGCTGGGATCACATGGACAGTTCATAAGGAGCCCAAAGAGTTAGACTAGGAACAGTCTTGTCGCTTCTCCCCGCTTTGTGATGATTAGCAGAGGAGCACTGAGATGATCAAGTCCCTAACACGCTTCTCTGACCATTACATCCCTCGATGCTGGAGCCTTGGAGCAGCCAAGGTGCCTTCTTCCCCATGAGAGGCCTTGGCGATCAGCGCCCTGCTCCAGAAGCACAAGCCTTACCGTCCACAGCTTCGGCAATGGTCCCTACTCTCCTGTTTGCCCACTAGGATATTTACTTTCTCATTTTGGCTTCTTCGCTGACACCCGATCACCCCTGGATGTGCTCTGCCTGGCTGTGTGCCTTTCAGGCTGTGCAGCGTCCTCTGGCCTCTTCAGTGTGGCAGTCCCAGGAGTGCACCCTGCGCTGCTGTCCCTTCTCCACTTCCTGTGGCTTCAGTTATCTTCATGAGGATGTCTTCTGAGCTCTGAAATCACTGAATATCTCCGTAATCTAACCCAGTACATGTGTCTACTACGTGCCAGGTACGGTTCCAGGTGCTGGGACCCCACTGTGCAGGCACCTCAAATATAACTGCTGGCTCAAGGAGTTACATCGCCAATTGGAAGCCAGAAATCTGGAAGCTGTTCTAGATTTCCCTCTCTCACCTCTTATTTCTAGAATCCAGCCCCTCCTCTCCACTCCCAGGGCCCATGCTTTAGCTGGTCTCTAAAATGTCCTTGTATTTTCCATATGGCCACAGTGCTAAAAACACTTGAGTCACACTCCCTGTTGTTGCCTATGGAAGAAACTCAGTAGGGCTACCAAGGCCCCTGCTGCTTCTAGCTAGAAGTCTTATCCTGGGGACCCTGCATTCCCCTGGCCCAATTACCCTCCCTCCAAGCTGTGTGAGTCCAGGCTCCCAGCCTCCCTTCACTGTTCTGGCTTTGTGACACATGCTTTCAAGTCTGACCCCTAGGGAGTTGTTTCTGATACTTACATGCAGTAGACTGACCTTTGAAGCATGACCCAAATTTAGCTTTGCAATAAAACAAGAATGTAGGCCCAGGAGGGAAGGGGATTTATAATTATTATAATGATTGTAATGATGATTTATAATCATAATTATTACAGGGTTAGCTTCTTACTGCACACGTCATGGAAGTCTGTCCATGTTACTGGATGGTCTTCCACTATGTTTGTAGCATAGTGGCCAAAGATTTGTGGCAGTTTTATAAATTGAATAAAGCTTTTGCCCATGCTTTAAAATTAGGAATTTTAGAACCCGGAAAAGGTCAGTTGAGGGCTAATGTCAATTCTCAATGAAAACTGGATTGGTTGTCACAAATTTAGCATTGTAAAGGCAAATAGTTGGGTGACTCACAGGCTGACTCATAGATGTTTTCTCTGGGAAGTATGGCCCCAAGTTTTCCCTGTGACCCCCTCATCGCTGCACCTCCCCTGCATGCCTGCGAGTCCCCGTGGTGCAGCTTGGCCACCGCGGTCCCCAAACTCCTGTGCTGAGGCGGGCTGTCTGAGGGCGACCCGCAAAGCCAGGCCTGGTTTATAAGATAACATTTAGGGAATTTTGGATTAAATTACGAAACCTTCTGAAAGTTGGACACTTCTCAGTGCCTCCAGGCGGTGTCGTACCCCTGCCCCCCATCCCCGCTTCTGCACCTTTCGGGTCGCGCGGTCGTGCCCGGCCGGCGCCCCGCTCCAGCTGTGCACGCCCGGGTCCCAGCCCCACCATCGCGCTGTCACCGAGCCCTCCCGCTCCCAGGTGGCCGCCCCCGGCCCAGGGGTGGCGCTGCGGCGGCGCGGGGAGGACGGCGGGGGCGGACGCCGGGCGGGGCGGCGCGGCCCGAGCGCGGGGAGCCGGGCCGGGCGCGGGGCGGCATGGCGTGGCCCTGCATCAGCCGCCTGTGCTGCCTGGCGCGGCGCTGGAACCAGCTGGACCGCTCCGACGTGGCGGTGCCGCTGACGCTGCACAACTACTCGGACCTTGAGGGCGAGGAGCCGGGCCTGGGCGGCGCCGCGGCGCGCACGGGCGCGTCCCCCGCAGGCGCCCGGGACCCCGGCCGGGACCTGCCGCTCACTCAGTACCAGCGGGACTTCGGCGCGTGGCCGGCGCCTGCGAAGCCCAGAGATGCGACGCAGGGGCGCAGGCCGGGGGCGGGCGGCCGCAAGGACACGTTCCCCGCACCCGCGGGCCGGGGGATCTACGTGCTCCCCATCGGCGATGCGGACACGGCTGCAGCGGCGACCACGTCGTACAGGTATGGGGTGGGGGTGGGGCGCGCTCGGTCCGGAGCCGGCGGCCGTGAGGCCCACGGTGTGTGTATGTGGGGGGCACCTAGAACCCCATCCCACACGACTTTGAGAGCGGCAGGCGGCCTCGAAGGTCATCGCGGCGGGCGGCTCCTTCGCTGCGCCCTAACCAGCCTCAGAGTGAAGGAGCGAATAGCTCCGCCAATGGAGAGCTCACGACCTCACTCTCAGCCCCGCATCCTTCTTGGCTGCATGGTCAGAAAGCTCTGCCTCCCTTTAACTTCCACCAGGCGGGCCCAGCCGTAGGAGGGGTGCACGCAGGCAGACTGCCTGAGCTTCCTCTGGCCAGTGGCCTCTGGGGCAGGGGTGGGGTAGGGGTTGGTTGCGAGGCCCAAGCAGGGCTCAGGACCCCACGGACTGAGAGCCGCTGACTTGGCTTTCACTGAGAGCAAGTCTGTGGGTCCTCCCCCCACACACCCACTCCTAGCTCGGCCCCCGGACTCCTAAGGGGTTCTCCCTCCTTTCATTATAAAACTCATAATCACTGTAGAGAAACTGGAAATAACCAATTTGGTAGCTCTTTCTAATCCCTAACATGCATTTGAGTGCATGTTCATTTATAATTATTATAGGGTTAGCTTCTTACTGTACACTTTGTGGATGCCTGTATGTTACCAGGTGTTCTATTACATGATTTTTAATAGATGTGAAGTATTCTATCCTATGGATGCGCATTTATCTATCTATCCAAATACGACTAATGTATTCTCATGTCATTGAATATGTAGGGTGTTTCTAATCAGGAGCTGTTAAAAACACTGTCTCTGATCCAGGGGACTGGTTAATTATGGCTCTGCCATTGATATGTCCTACTGGGAAGCCCAGAATGTACTGATAACAGCAGCTCTTCAATAGATCCATATCAAAGCAGCAAAACACAAAACAGCATGCCTGCTACCATTTGCCTTTTCTTTTTTCTTAAATCCTCACCGTAGGACACTTTTCCATTGATTTTCAGATGGAGTGGGAGGAAGGGAGGAGGGAGGGAGGGAGAGAAACATCTATGAGAGAGAAACACCGATCGTTGCCTCCCACACAACCCCAGCCAGGCCCGGGATCAAACCAAAACCAAGGTACGAAGTGCCCTTGACCTGAACCAAACCCGCGACCCTTTGGTCTGTACATCCAGGTGCTCTAAACAGTGAGCCAAATAGGCCAGGGATCCATTTGCATTTTCAAAAGGGTTGTTGGTATACACATATCTGTTCAAATAAGCACAGAATCTCTCTGAATGGATGGTAACTTTTGGGGGGTTGAGGAGGATGGATGCTGCTAGTGGAGAAAGGAGACTGACTTTTCACTCTTGAACCGTTGCTTTTTTTTTTTTTTTTTAATGTACAGGTATTACCTTTTAAAAGTAAACAATTTTTGCCCTGGCTAGTGTGGCTCAGTGATTAGAGTGTTGGCCCACGCACCGAAGGGTCGAAAGGTCATGGGTTTGATTCCCAGGCAAGTGCAGCTACCTGGGCTGCAGGTTCAATCCCTGGCCCAGGTGCATCTGGGAGGCAACCAATCGATGTGTCTTTCACTTGGATGTTTCTCTCTCTCTCTCACCTTCCCTTCCTCTCTTCTACTCTCTCTAAAACAACAAAAAATAAAGAGTCATTGGAGCCCTGGCTGGTTTGCTCAGTGGTTAGAGCATCGGCCCGCGGACCGGAGAGTCCTGGGTTTGGTTCCCGCGAGGGGCACGTACTTTGGTTGTGGTTTGTCCCCAGCAAAAAAAAAAATTCCTCGAGTGAGGATAAAAAAATAATCAATGGAAAAAAAATATATCATCTGGTGAGGATTAACCAAAGAAGAAAAAGAAGAAAAGTAGAAGTAATCAGTTTTTTTGAGAAAAAAAAAAAAAACTTCTGAGATAAGCATCCTTATAACTAAATCTTTGCCCCTCTTATCATCCCATCTCCCCAGAGGCTCCTTCATGGGCCTGCAGTTTTTAAGAACAGATGGGGAGTGGGAGTCTGTGTTCATGGACACTTGCTCTCAGCTTGTGGGAATGTCAAGGGCAGGGAAGAAGGTGGTCAGTTCTGACTGCTGCACCATGGGGCCCTGAGCCAGCTGGAGGGGCCTAAATGGTGAGGTCTGGTAGGCCAGAGGTCCTGGGTGTGCAGCGCCTTCACGTGGCTGATGTCCTAGGTGCCAGGAGCAGGACAAGGTGTGGTGCTTGTCGGGAACAGCTTCAGCTCAGGGGAGGAAGTGCTTTCTAATAATCAGAACTGACTGACATGGAGCTGCTGCATTGCATGGTGCTGAGCTCCTCCCTGGGATGCTGAGAGGAGGGGCTTTTGAAAAGAAGCAGTTTCTCATCCATCTACTCTCTCATCCACCAAGAGCACATGGCGGGTTTGAATGTCCTGCTGGGTCCTCCTAGCCTCAGTGACACTGAGGCATTAGTTACCACTCTGCTTAGCAAGTACTGGGCACCAGGCTCAGGACTTCCCACAGCCGATCTCCCCAAGACCTCACAAAAACCCTCTGGAGTCAGTGCCGTTCCTGCTGTCCCCATTCTTTTTTTTTAAATCCTCATCTGAGGACATTTTTCCATTTTTTGTTCAGACAGGGGGGGGGGGGCGGGGAGAGAGAGAGAGAGAAAGAAACATCCACATGAAAGGGACACATCGAGTGCCTGCCACCCACATGACCCAACCAGGGGGCCGGGGACAAACTGCAACCGAGGTACATGCCCTTAACGGGAACTGAACCTGGGTCTCTCTGGACCGCAGGCCGACGCTCTAACCGCTGAGCCAAACCGGCCAGGGCCTGCTGTCCCCATTCTACAGTGAGGAAGGTGAGTGGCTGGCACAAGGTCCCGCAGAGCAGGTAGTGGAACCCAAGTGTGTGTGTCCTGCCTCGGAGACCACATTTATACCCCACAAGGATTATCCCCTAAGATGCTGCCTCCTTTGAGTCACTTGGTTTCTTGAACAGTGTCCGGAGTGGTGGCCCCACTTCCTGGTGTATAAACCCGGAGTGTCACTTGGCCTCTCTGCCCCTTTCCTCATCTGTGGGGCAGAAATAGCAAGAGCTTGGCTGCCTGGTCCCTGGACCCCGCCAGAGACACAGGACCACTGCCGAACCTGGCCAGCACCCCCCGGGGACCCTCCACCTCCCAGCTCAAGCCTGGCATGAGCAATCCTTCCTACCTGCCTTCTTGCAAGATGCACCTGACCTACAGGAACTGTTCCCCAAAGATGGCAGAGGAGTCATGTCCGCTTCGCCCAGCAGGTCCTGCCTAGCCTGGCCCCTGGCCTCCATGTAAGAGCTGACCTGCCTGACTTGCCTGGCCATATGGGCACAGTGGGTTCTGCCCACAGCCAGCCCGAGCCCCTCCTGAGCGGCTCCTCCCAGAGCCTCCTGTCCAGAATGCTGTGCCTGCTGGCCAGCACCCGTGGCCCAGCCTCTGGCTCCACCCGCTTCTAGAACAGTTCCTTCCTCAGTTATGGCTTTTCTTCCTGGGCCAATCAGCTGAAGGGCCAACTGTTATTTTTTATTTTATTTTATTTTATCTTTTTGGGTATGTGCCCCTAGCGGGAACTGAACCCAGGACTCTCTGGTCTGTAGGCTGATGCTCCAACCGCTGAGCCAAACCGGCCAGGGCAGAAGGGCCAACTGTTAAAGGGCCACAAGACTTGATTCCCACTTTCCAAGTGCCCAACATGAAGGCTCATAATTTCTGCACATGGAGAGGTAGCCCACTTTTAGCAGAGGAAATGAAGGCTCTGAGAAAGCTAAGGGACTTGTTTGAAGCTGTGTTGGGCTGAGAACCAGGCCTCCGGGACCTCAGGCCAGGGCTCTCCGAATTGCACCCCTTGGGGTCCAGCTGAGGCCCACTTGAGGTGGACAGTGGTAGAACCTGCTTGGTTAGGGAGGCACAGTGGCCTTGGCTAGTCCTACATTTTTATTACCTTCTTGGCCAGAGCCCTGGGTCTGCCTTCCTCTCCTGAGCCGTCACCAGGTCCGGCGGATCCCATCTGTGGTCCTTTCTATGTCCCCATACAGCTCCCCTCACCTGGGCTCCAGCACCAGCTCCGCCCTGGGAGCAGCCACAGGTACTGCTTTAGCCCCAGGCTCTGGTTGCTTTCTGCTCTGGGACCCCTGCAGCCACTGTGGGGCAGCAGCTTGGGATGCCAAGACCAAGTCCCGCTCAGTTTGGGGACAGAAGGTCACGCCCAGAGGAGGACCTGCTTCCCCAGGAGAAACAGCCGCAGATGGCCCAGGCAGCCGGTCTTCGGAACCCTGCAGCTTCAGAAGTGAAAATGATCTGATAGGGCCCTGGCACAGCTCACCTCCTGGCACCCAAGTACTGACCACAGACACAGCTGCTCCCTGCACACGCGGCCCACCCAGTGGGGCCCAGCTGCGCTGCTGCAAAGGAGAAAAGGCAGCTTTGTTGACCTCAGGGCCTGAAACCCAGCCAGGCTGGGGGTGGGGAGACAGGAGGGATCCAGCCCACATGGGGGTCCCGCTCCAGCCAGGTGCTCCTGTGGACACGGCAGGTCTCTGCCTTCCTAAGCTCACCGTCCAGCAGTGGAGTTATAATTAAAATAGGTCTTTTTTGTTCAAAGGAATTAAGTCTCCATCAAAAGAAGCTCCTCCAAGGATGTGGGGCCGGGTGGTGGCAGCCTGCCACCCCCCCCCCCCCCCCAGGGAGCTGGCTTTCCCTGGTGCATGCACTGCCCCTCCCTGCACCACGCTTGAGTGCGGAGCCATGCAAACAAGCCAGACCATCTTGTAGGTTTTTGTGATGGTCATGATTGATTGTTTCGCAGGAGTTAATAAGACAAATTATTAAAAACTAAACATAACATTGAGCCATATTTTCCTTCTCACTTGCAGCCAGGTAGGGAGAACTTTGCTGTGCTGGGTGCTCTCCAGGACAGCACCTCCTCTGGACATAGGGCCATCAGTGACCCGTATTGGAAGTGAGCAACCTTTACTGGTTCTGGGCCTCTGGGGCCCCCTAAAGTGGCCTGGAGACAATACAGGAAGCTGGAGGGAGGGACTGGGACTTGCTTTGTCTCCCAAGCCCAGCACACACCAACCAGTTGTTTGCATTTGGGGCAAGTAAGATTCAAGTGCAGATAGCTTTCCTAACTCCCCACAGCCCAAGCCAGTTGCTCATCTGTAACCTGTGACTTAAGTTTCTGCTACTTCCTGTGGGGGTCAGGTGAGCGACTTCACAGTGGAGCACTCAGGAGTGAAGGGCAGGTCAGCCAGAGGTGTGTGTTTCTTCCAGGAAGTGGCTGCGTCTGGGCAGTGTACTTCCTCGGCTAGTTCTGTTGTTGCTGTTGTATCTGAGGATATTCTCTTAGCGAGAGCGGAAGGGAGGGAGAGGAGAGAAATATCAGTTGGTTGCCTCCATCACGAGGCTGGGCTGGGGATTTAACCTGCAACCCAGGTATGTGCCGTTGACCAGGAATCGAACATGTGACCCTTGGGTGTGCGGGCTGACACCCTAACCAGTGAGCCACACCGGCCAGGGCATGCTAGTTCTGTTTTCGTAAGACAGAAAGGAGTACCTGGAGCCGAAGCAGGATTTGGGCAGTGGGCCTGGCCAGGAACACTCCAAGGAGCATGGGGCAAGGGTGGTGGCCCCTGCAGGGTCAGGGGAAGGGGTGGTGACCCTGTGCAAAGTTGTGACCATTCTCTGTTCCAGACAGGAATTCCAGGCCTGGACTGGAGTCAAGCCATCGAGATCCACAAAGGTGAAACCCACCACAGTTATCACAACCCACAGCTCCGGCTGGGACGGAAGCCCTGCAGCCAGCTGCCAGGTCAGCCTGAAGCCGGTGCTGCGGGGGGTGTGGGAACAGGCCTTTCTAGCCAAGATTAGGGACCAGGAGTCTGATTTCATAGTATAAAATGTGTCTGAGCACCAGTCGTCCCTCAACAAACAGAAACCCAAGGTCCTTGTCACTGGCCAGGTGGTTGTCCCCCCAAGTGCTGGCTTCTCTGGTGAGCAGGGCGTCTCTTTCCCTCCTATGTCCCAGCCTTACCCTTGACCACTGAGCAGGAGCGACAGGCATTTGTGTAAGAGGAGAGAAGGTGGAAGGGAAGTAGGGACTATTTAGCCTCCTGATTCCACCCAAAGGAGGCTTCAGGGAGCAGAATGGAAGGTCCATGTACTATATTTGACCTGCTAATGCAGTGAGCCTGCCTACTGTGGAGGTTTCCCCCCGGACCCTTCCGGTTAGTAGTCTCAACTCTTGGAGGACAAAGAGGAGGCTGGGAGAAGGGAAGTCTTTTCCTGGAGCTGAGGGGAGGGCGAAAGTGGAGAAGAGCCCACTGACCTTGGCCACATCTTGTTTTTCAGGTCCCTGAGGTGAGGAAGAAGTTCGCTCCTAACCCCTCAGCCATCTTCCAGGCTTCAGCTCCCCGGATCCTCAACGTGTGACTCCCACTGAGCGGGGAGTGCCACCGGCGGGCCAGAACCGCTGCGCCAGGAACTGGGGTGAGACCTTGGGACCCGACGGCCCCTGCCGTCAGAGGGGAAGGGTCCTCCTTTCTCACCCTGGGCACCTCTCCTCCCACACTGCCACCAGGGCTGCAGGCCTGGCTCAGAGCAGAGGCCCCGATGGACGCGGCACCACCCAGCCCCTCTGGACCTCAACCACACTCTTCCTGGAGCAGTTTGCGGAGAGCTTCCGATCTTTTTCTAACTGCCTCTTTTCACCAACCTTCAGTTTTTAAATCGGAAGAACTCGAGGATCAGTTCTGTTGTGGACGGGACTGGTCCAGAAACACTGAGGCATGTGGACCACAGATCCTGGAAGAGCCAGTGGTGTCCAGTGTTCCCCGCTGCACGGTAACTGACAACCTGTGGTAACGGGCAGTGTCCTGGGCATCCCTGCGAGTGGCCCTGGACACTTCAGCTGTAGAAGAAATCTTAGGTTATCACCTGCATGTGATTCCAAACAACCAGGAAGAAGTTGCTAGACAAACAGAGTATCAATCGCAGGGTTTCCATTTCAAAGACATCGTTTCTTTATGGCCAGATGATCCTTATGTTTTAACGTGGCATTTCTTGGGATGAGTGTCTGAAGTACTGAATTAATGAATGCCATTTACCTTGTGGAAGGTTTCTGAGCCCCACGTTTTTTTTTGTTTGTTTTTTTATTTTATCCTCACCCGAGGACATTTTTCCATTTTTTGTTCAGGTAGAGTGGGAGGGAGAGAGAGGAACAGAGAGAGAGAGAGAAACATCGACGCGAAAGGAACACATCGAGTGAGCCCCACGTTTTATCCTAATTCCAGTTTTAGTCCCTTAACATACTGACAACTAGAAGGGAACTACCATCCACACTGGCTAAGAATTGGGTTTTTAAAACTTTTAATTTTATTGATTGATTGATTTTAGGGAGAGGAAGGAAGAAAAACATCAATTTGCTGTTCTACCCCATTCAGGCATTCACTGGCTGATTCTTGTATGTGCCCGACTAGGGATCAAACCCACAACTTTGGCGTATTAGGACGATGCTCTGACCAGCTGAGCTACCTGGCCAGGGCTGGGAGCTTTTCTTTAGAAGACTGCAGCATCAGCCTCATTCCCTGAAAGACCTTAAGACATCTACACCAACCTTGACTGTCAAGCCTGCCCTGCTACAGTGACAGGGAGCTCACTGCCTGTTGAGGAGGCGGCTCCCTTTGTCTTTGGAAAGCTCTGCTTCCTCCATAAATTCCAGCCAGTGCAGCCTGGGGAACAAGTCTGGTCCTCTCTTTGTACAGCAGCCCTTCACACCTTGGAAGGAATCTATGTCCATCTGAAAAACCAGAAGCATGGCGTTAGGCCAGCTTTGGTGAGGAAACACAAGGGTTTCCCTTTGGATCCTGATCCCTCTCCAGCCCACAAGGGGCTCTACGTGTAGTCTGGAGCACTTCCTTATGCCACAAGAGGTGGCCTTCAGGTCTCAGAACCACCTCGGAGTGGGGGAGGGGCTGCTGCAGCTCAGGCTGCACACAGGCGAAACCTCAGAGGTGCTAGGTCTGGCAGGCACAGCCCTTCCCCTCATTCCAGCAAAGGAGATGCTCTGAGCAGCTTTCTGAAAGGAAAACCAAATGCTTACATGAAGGGTTCTATTATTTGAGACTTTGCTGGTTTGTCTGTCGGATGTTTCTAAAAGAAAAGAGACTGCCTGCTGGGCATTTTGTGGGAAATGAATAGATTAACAAGTTAGTTTTTACTAAAATGCAAAAATGTATGTTTCAATTTGTTTATTTCTTTAAATTAATTGTACACGAGCACCTTCTACAGCTTCCTTCATCCTCCCCTTGGTAATAAGGACTTGAATGTCCCGGCTGTGGCTGGAGTCCCTGGAAGCTTGTCAAGCTTGAGAACCCTTGCTTTGGGCTGCAGTCCACACCAGCATTATTACATGTAGTTTTCACAAAATCTGCCAGCCTCCCCTCGGTCACATTTAGCCCCACCACCCTGTGCCCCCACGCCTAGGGTAAAGTGACTGTCTTTGAAGCTAGTCTTGGACTCGATCTTGACTTCTCCACTCACTAGCTGTGAGCAGCTTAAGCTTCTGTTTCCTTATCTGCAAAATGAGGCTAACACCTCTACCTCGCTGAATCTCGGTGTATGTGCAGGGTGCTCAGGACAGTAAATGGCCAGCAGAGAGCACAGCTGTTGAAATCATTGTTTCCGGCCCAGGCACCCCTCCCCCTTTCCCAGGGAGCCGGCTCTTTTCTCATGTGCAGCTTTGCCCCATCAACTCTGACCAGACCCTGCCTGCCACAACACACAGCTGGCAGCGCCCTTCCCTCCCTACCCCAGGGCCTGCTGGGAAGCCTGTTCACTCTTGTGCCATCTGGTCTGCTGTACCTCAGTGGAAATAAGGCAGGCCTGCCCCTTCCTGCCATACCTGCATGCCTTCTGCACTAGAACAGATGGCTTTTCAAACACCCCAACCTGACACCCTTCCTTACTCGACTGCATTAGATTTGGGCTCTTAAGAAGGAACTTCCTCTTACTCACTCTAGGTCTTAGTAAGGCCTAACATTGTGATACTGGAGTGGCCTTAAGAAGTGACGAAGACAACAGTCTCAACCATGTGGTCCCAGCCCCTATGTATCACATATGTAGAATATACACTGACAAAGGCTGAAAGAAATGCATTGGAATAGTAATGGCGATTATTCTTAAGATGTGGATTAACGGGTAATTATATTTACTAACATTTCTATATAAGCATTTTTGTATTAATTCTGTAAAGAAAAGTTTTTAAAAATAAATGGTTCAATCTGTTAGCTAATTTCAGCCAAAAGAAAGAGTTCAATACTCATGATTCCCTCAGCAAAATTAGCACTTCAGCAGCTGCCCATCAGCCTCGAGGCTGCACCACAGCCCTGCCAATCAGTTATTCAGAGCGAGGCCCCACTTCTACCTGCTCAGTGGGGCTTTAAACGCAAAAAAACCCATCACAAATACTAATACTTCCGTACCTATAATAATTCCAGGATTTTAGGCCTAACTCCCAAAAGCAGTTTTTGCCAAAGTCTTGGCCCTGCAGCCCACCCATGAAGCTCCTTCAGTAGCAAGAGGGAGTCCCTACTAACGGTTCTGCCTGACACAGATCTTTAACTGTTCTGTGGCTCCTGTCAAAACCGGGGCTGAGACAACATTCAGAAAGGGGGCCGAGTCTACGGCCATACCACTCTGAATGCGCCCGATCTCGTCAGAAAGGGGCCTGAGCAATACCCCTATTTTCCTTCCTCCAGACCATTCAACTCCCTAAAGGTTGACACTAAGTGAAGTCTGGTCTCAAGAAAGCTTTATACCTGAACTGTATCACAAAGCCCCTCCCTGCAAAGCAAGGGCTTTCAAAGCTTTCAGTTCTCAGTAAGGGAGATAAAAGTGGTCATTCTGAACGTTTCTGCATGTTGGGTGATTTTTTTAGCCATTATGATAGCAGATGGTCACGGCAGGACGTCACAGGAGTTAACTGCTTTAAGACCTCAGTGCAGACCAATTCCATCTTGGCAGGCAAGCCAGTGAGTTTGTCCAACAGGAGCAGTTCGCTCTGCCTTGGCTTTGAGCTCAATTCAGCAGTCTCCTTTGCCACAAGCTGTCAGAAATCAGCATGTCCAGGGTCCACATGCATCCTCCAGAATTTTTTCAGACTCTTACATAACTGTTTTTCTTTGTCTTACATAGCCTCAAGTTCTTTTGGGGAAGAAGAAGAAGACTTTAACACAAATACCTACATGTTTGCCCTGTCCCAGCTCTTCTGACCTAATGTAAGAAGAACCTTACCAAAGTATAGAAATTCAAACTCAGAAAAACCCATCACAAATACTAAAAGATTTATTGTAGTTATTTTTGTTAAACAATTATGTTACATATTATAATACAAATACATTTGAAACATTAACACATTGGGACTGTTAAATCATTTAATATTTCTTTTGCAAAAAGATAATTTCTTTAGACTTTCATCCCTATAGTCCATCTGTTCTCATTGGGATGAAATCTTCCATCCTGTGGAGCAGCCCCAGTCTACTGCTGAATGAATTGACACACCTGTCCACACCTTTGCATGGAGTCAGTCGTGTACGCACTAGCTGAGCCTTTAATACTGAACTACGTTACCACTGAGCCGGGGCACGCCCTTGCCTTCCTGAACAGATTTCCTTCTGCATTTGCAGTCCTCAGATGCTGAATAAAAGAAGGTAGATTTCTTATCATGTCACCTCCCTGCGTTCTTTTCCTGACAAACATCTACAGGACTCATGAAAACATGAATTATGTTGCTTAGATAAGTTCCTTTGACTCTGACTCAGATTTCAAATTGTCTCTGAGCAGCAGCATCAATTTATTCTTCTACTTCCAGACTGTTAGGAAGCCTGGGCTAGAGTGCCTGCAGTGGAACCGGACATCATCCCAGTGCAGAGCTAACCTCCCTCCTCTTCACCTCTGCCTGCCGTCACCTTAAGGGCACAATCTTTTCTCACAGCTCCGAGCAGATGTCCCTGTCTTTTGGCTTCGGTGGTCATATCTCTGTCTTTAAGGCACTCACTAGTATTTGTCTGAAACATTTTCCTTCTTGCAAAAAACTGGACTGAGGACATGAAATCCACTGACAGAACAGTCCTGGTGGGGCTGTCACAGGAGCTGCTCCCACTGGCCGTTCAGCCTGGGTACAGTCCAGAGGCCCATGCGAACAGTGGGCACCAGCTCGCTAACTGGCACACACGCTAAGCTGGTATGAGGCCTTGGCTGGTTTGGCTCAGCGGTACAACATCAGCCCGCAGACCAATGAGTTGTGGGTTCAAATCTGACCAAGGGCACATACCTCAGTTGTAGTTTGTCCCTGGCCCTAGTTGGGGTTGTGCAGGAGGCAACCAATCAATGTGTCCCTCTCACACTGATGTTTCTCTCTCTCTCCCTTTCTTTCCCTCTCCCTCCCATTCTGTCTAAGGATAAACAGAATAATATCCCCAAGTGAGGATTAAAAAAAAAAAAGCTGGTATGAGTCTGCCAAGAGCCTGAGATCTGTGGGTGTTGTCTACTATGGGCATATTAAGAGCTTCTTGGTTATAGTTGAACCTTTCTGGAGAGATGTCTCTCTCCCTTGACCCTGTCTTTCCCTCCTCTCCGAGAGTGGTTATAGTAATGTTCCTATGCTCTGTGAAAAGGAATTCTGCTCAGGCTGCAACCTTGCAGGCCTTTTTCTGCACAGCATTCCTGAGTCCTGTAGCTGCTGCACGTGGGCCGAGTGCAGAGCCCCCACACTGCCGCCACCCGCTAAGTGCTGGAGCCTAGTCCTTTTCCAGGTGTTACCAGGGTAACTGTTGGGGCAGCCTGTAACCCCAGCCCACAAAATGGGTGAAATCTCTAGCCTGTCAGAATCATGTTCTGCCTCCTGGAGGGAGATGCAGGCCCAAGGTGCCCCCTTGAGGGTGCCCAGCGGACAGAAGGACCTGATACACATGGCCTGGCCCAGTGAGCTTTACTGAGAGTGAACAAATGCGAGTTGACAGAGCACGCGTCCACAGCTTCACTCCAGAATCAGGAAACTTGTGTCCCAAAGGGATGTGATCTAGGATTGAACACTCTGGTGTTACACTGAATTAACTGGAGGTAGTGGTTCAGTAACCATATTCTGAGGCACAGATGACAACCTCCTTCCCCAAACAGAAGAGTCAACACAGTTCAAAGCTTCAGAAACAGCTCCAGGTCCTGCTTTGCTAAGGGGCACCCATTCACTGGTCTTCATTCAGTATCCCCATGTGCTTGTTTGTGAGGAAGTCCAGAAAAGGAATGTTGCAAATGGCCTGGTGAATATTAGTCACTGTAATTTCTTTGGGAATCCTGGTCCAAAAAACAAAGGCTGTTAGGTGAAATTCTCTCGAGCATCCAATAACTTAGTTTATCTAAAGGACCATCTCCTGCATAAGCCCTGAGAAGGGGATACTGGTGAGAAGGGGACAAGACATGGTTTAGGGCCACTTGGGGAGTGGCAGGGGTATTCTCTCTCTCCTTTCCTGTCAATTCCTTTTCACTTTGGTGAAGACTTGGCCTACCCTCTTTAGTCTGCCCTATTTTGGGCTCAAATCTGACTTCTAGTCACAGGTATGAGATGGAGTTCAAGAAGTTGGCTGAATGAGAAAAAAGAAAGTAAAATGCACGCAGCAGAACAATGGTATTTTTGTGATTCAGCTTTAGCAGACTGAAAGGTGAGCCAAAACACCACAGAACTATGGACCACATTTCCCGTCTCCTGGAAAGACGGGAGATGAAGTTACGCCAGCCAAGTGTGATGTTAAATATTCTCATCAAAAACACCCAAGTCCCTCCCTGTCTCCACAATCAGGAGCACAGGGGTGAGCAGGGGCCACAGCAGGCACTCGGCTGGCTGCTGATTTGTTCAAGTTGGACAATAAGCAGCATTACTGGAGCTCCTTTATTTCTCCTTTTTCTTTCTTTTTTCCATCTATTATTTATGCATTCACTGGTTGATTCTTGTATGTTTCCTGACCAGGGATCAAACCTGCAACCTTGGCATATTGGGATGACACTCGAACCAACTGAACTATCCGGCTAGGACACCCCTGCCTTTTTCTTGATGACTTCTTCTACACTGCCTGACGTGTCCTATTCCTATGAAGCCTGACCTACTATTCCTCTGATTTAGGCCTCTTTATGTCCGCAGGCACTCTGTTACAATTTTATAAATTTATGATAGCCTTTAAACACAATGGGATAAAATGTCTATTTCCTTTTAAAGGAAAGGGTTTGTCTATCATTCTTTGAGGGCCCAAGAAAAGAGCAAAATTCAGTGTCCCAATCAATTATAATTCAAGCGGAAGCAAAGAGAGCAGTGAGCCTGTGGGCTTTACAGCCAGTGAGATCTGAGTCTGGCTCTAGGTCCTATCATGTTTGTGCTGGGAAGGACACATAAGACCACCTTACAAAGCCACGTTTTCCAATTTCTAAACAGAAACTATGGGTTTTGCAATGAAAGGCAAATTAGGTAATATATGTGATGCCTGGCACCAACATCTGACACCTAAGGGACACTGTTACTGTCTTTAATTGCAAGGAGCTGATAGTTGTTCAACCTGTAGCACAACAGAGTCCTACTGAACAGTATATATGCAGTAGTGATTGGGCAGATACAGACTCTGGGCAAAGCTGAGCTTTCACAACCAAGAGGTTCAAAATAACCACATAGACCCTTGAATCTGTGTGCCTCTGAGAATGTTCCCAGCACAGACACCTCCATCTCCCACTGGACTGACTTAAGTACAGAACATCTCGATGAGCAAGTAAACTGTCAGGAAATATTTGTAAGCCTGATTATCACTAAAAAGATAACAGTACCTGTTGTGGGATGCTGTCTGGTATCCAACCGCCAAAGCCTGTCTCAGGATGTCACTCACCAGTTGCTCTGTAGCCTACAACAGAACATGCTGTTACTCTCAGAAACAGCCATCAGCTTGCAGGCAAGATCTGACCCCACCCCTTACCCTACAGCTTGGAAACATCCGTATCTAAGGAATCAAAAATCTTTAAGGAAAAATTAAAGATTCAAATAATATACCATGCATGGAGAGCTGGTCACAATGACAGAAGCATGACTCTGAGAAACTGAACAGGGTAAGTTTCATTAGTCAAAAGCTGTTTTTAAGGAAAACAAAGGAATTATTTGTGAGGCATCTCTGCTGCAGGAGGGACACACCAGGAAAGAAACTGCTGAACTCAGATCAGGCAGGGTAAGAAACTGGTTTGTCATCCCCAACCCAGGGATGGGACAGTGGTGGCTATTTCTTTGTTGCTGTTATGACAGGTGCAGAAAACCCAAGGCTTTGCCTTTGTTATCTCCTGAAGCAATGAGAGCACCAGTTCTCACATCAGACTAATTATTTTTTTTAATTAAAAAACAATTTTTTTATCCTCACCCAAGGACATTTTTGCATTTATCTTCAGATAGAGCAGGAGGGAAAGAGGGAGGAAGAGAGAAAGAGAAACATGGACATGAGAGAGACACATTGACTGGTTGCCACCTACACAATCCCAAGCAGGGCCAGGAATGAACTGTAACTGAGGTACGTGCCCTTACTGAGAACCAAACCCAGGACTCTCTGGTCCATGGGCCAACGCTCTAACCACTGAGAAAACCGGCCAGGGCTCACATTACACTAATTAAAAAGCACATGAAATAACACTAAAAATATCGTTAGTGACATCAACAAAGAAACTCTTATTGGAGGTGCTTTTTAACACTTAAAGCCTGAGTAAGATGAGAAATCTTAAAATCTGTCATCTCTGTTCTGTTTCTGTCCTTGTCCCTTACTCAAAACAGCCTAGCATCCAGACTGTCCTGCCTGGCCCCTCTGCTGCCAGCAGGCACCTACCTTGAAAATCATGTCCTCCACCACCGACGCATACACGTTCTTGTGAAGTGCCACGGGCTGCAAGGTGATCCCAATCTGGAAGAGCAGAAGAAAGCCTTTGCTCCTATTTCTACATGAAAACAGTCTCTCTCTAAACAAAGCACACTTCTCTGACGGCCAAAGAGATGTCCAGTTGGAATGAGATATCTTATTTCTCATGTTTCTGAGTGGTTAAAAATGCTATTATAATCCTGCATTTGCCCTCAAATCCCTTTCATGGGAGAACATGATCAGGACTTGCCACGAATTCTAATAGTGGGAGCAACACATTGGAAAGCCTAGAATCAGACTAAGGCCCTGTTTGCAAAAGGTAATGATATACTTGGAAAGTATGTCCTGCCCCATTTTTCATTGCCCCCTGCAAGTAAAAACACTGCCTTTCACTTTGGGTCGTAAGTAACTGTAGATGGCAGATGCTCAATAGCTGCTGAGTTTCATCAAAGGGGATGACGACTTCTCTCCTGCACCACAAGGTGCACCTTCACCACAGACAGGCACTTGAGAGCGATGAAAATGAGGAAAGCGTGCCCTCTGAAGGATGACTTGCAAATATTATGTCATGCCTCATGAGTGAAAGGTGTTTCTACTGAGGCAAATGAGAAAAAAGAAGATAAATTTTTTAAAAAAATCTAGCTGCCTTTGCTTCAATTCCATGTTCAGCAAGCAACCTTTTCACACATAATTAATTTCATGCCCAAGGGCCTTGGTGTGGAAAGCAGACCTTGAGTTTATCAGGCAGAAGCAAATCACACATTCACTTCACCAGGAAAGTCTGACCAGTTTTTAAGGCTGAATGTCCGAGCACCTGGCACCTGGTTTGTGATTGAGCAACACCACAGGCCACAGCTCCTACCTTCTGTGTGATGTCGCCAATAAATTCTGACCCTGGTGTAGGTGGCAGGTAGAATTTCATTTCTTCCTGTTTCTCCTCCTGTTCTTTTTTGATGTTGATCTGCAATGGCTCCGAGAGGTTGAGAACATCCACCTCCTCCTCGTTCTCTGGTTCTCTCTTCTGAAACTGCTGGAGGTCCTCCAGTTTCTGGCACAGGGTGTCGGCGGAGGAGAACGATGACGGGCACTCTGAATGAGAGGTAAGGAGGCTTATGACAGCTGTGGTGACAAAAGAAAAGGACTTTCCATCTCTGTAAGACCGACAGTCTGAGACCCAGAGAAGAGGGGGTATCAAGGGAACTGACCTTCATTCTAGTTCTAAAATTCTATGGCTTTCTAATTATGAGAACCAGTAATTTACAAGGTGGACAAGCAGAGACAGGCATCATGTTAAGATGTATGTGATATAACTGAAATCTGAGACAACACAGACAGTACACAATTTTGACCTAACAAGGCCATCTCACCACCCCTCAAATACTTTCTTTTTTTTTTTTTTTAATCCTCACCCGAGGATATTTTTCCATTTTTTGTACATATAGAATGGGAGGGAGAGAGAGGAAGGGAGAGAGAGAGAGAAACATCGATGTGAAGGGACACATCGAGTGGCTGCCACCCACACGACCAACCAGGGCCGGGGACAAACTGCAACCGAGGTACATGCCCTTAGCGGGAACCGAACCTGGGTCTCTCCGGACCGCAGGCCGACGCTCTAACCACTGAGCCAAACTGGCCAGGGTCAAATACTTTCTTTAAAATAATTTTTCTTTACTGATTTTAGAGAGGGAGAGAGAGAGACATCGATGAGAGAGAACATCGATTGGCCGCCTCCTGCATGTGCGGCCCACTGAGGATAGGACCCACAACCTGGGCATGTACCCTGACCAGGAATCAAACCGGCGACCTCTTGGTGCGTGGGTCGACGTTCAACCACTGAGCCACACCAGCTGGGCACCCCCACCCCTCAAATATTAATGACTAATTAAAAAAATATATTTTAAGTGTAGAAAATTTAGAAATGCAGTGAAGAAAATGAAAATCACTCATATTCTCACTGCTCAGAGGTAAGTACTGCTAACATTTTAGCTATACCTCGTATCCAGTGTTTAATAAGTTGACTTATATAAAATCTAACAAAGAGTGTTAGAACTTTAAGCCAGCAGGGGCCCTAGGCGTCTTCTAGTGCATCCCTTTCACTTTATGGATTAGTGAGTTCTAGACCAGCTATAGGACGGGCTGATGGGCACCCGGCAGGATGGTGGCAGAGTATTCAGCCCCTGGCTTTTGTCTTATTGACTGGGCGCTCACAAGTTAATCAGTCATATAAACAGAGAGCCCAGTGTGTGTAGAGCATCGTGCCTTACATTCCCTACCAGTGAAGCACAGAAGTAATCAACATGGTCTCTGTTCTCCAAAGAGCTTAGTTACATAACTATGACAAACCCTCCAGGTTCTATATTGTGTTGCTGGGCATCAGAGAAAGGAGAGGTCCTCCTGCATTAGGGCTCTCAGGAAAGCTTCATGGAGGAAACGGGACTTGTGCTGTCTTAAAGGACGCCCCCACTCCCCCTGTACTCCAGTTCCCTCAGACTAAGAGGCAGAGCTGCTGTTTTTCTACAGAAATGGAGGTTGGAGAAGAAAACAATCCTTCTTATTCTTTAAGGTGAAACTCAAAATATTCTCCCCATATATCTTTTATGCCCTGCTCCCCAACCCCAACAACAAACTGCTTATGTCTTTATCATAAAACAATTCATTGTATCTGCAATATTACTCATTGTTTACTTCTGTGTCTCCAACACTGGGTAGTCCACTTCCTGGTTAGGTCTGGAGATGAAGTAACAGAGAAGACAGTGTGCCCAGATTCAAGGAGATTGGATAGACTTGTCTATGAGGGCTTATAAGGTCATAAAGGAAGGAGAAGTCGCTTCTACCTGGAGGACAGGAGGAAGATTAAGCAAAGTCTTCCAAGAAGAAACAGTGTTGAGGAGGAGACTCCTGAACAAATAGTGTGTGCCTTTTGTATGTCCTGGGCCAGAACATTCCTGGCTGGGCATGGCACTTGGGACACTCGGGCACAAATAGTTCTGTGGGGGATATATTAGTCGGGGGGACAGGAAGGGACACATGTCAGAGGTGAGCAAAGGCTCCTGTTCTCCAAGGTTAACTCGTAGAGTCCTAGGTAAACTGCTGGGATCCCAGATCCATCGAGTCTGAAGGGACCCTCTGGCTGCCGATGATGCTTAGTGAGCTCCACTTGAAGGCTTACCTGGCTCGCTGTCAATTTGGGTCAGCACGTCCTCAATAGAGTCCCCATCACTCCTCAGGCTCTCGGGATCAGGTGGGGTGTAGCCGTGACAGCGACACCAATGTGCAATGTGCTTGGTTTTAAGGGGCGTCAGGTGGTGAAATCGTGGATTCTTCTCTAGTATTTCTTGTAAGACTTTTCGCATTGTCATTGCTCTTTGCCACTTAAAAAAATTTTTTTTGAACCATTACCAAATCTTCAACTTAGCAGTGTGTTCAAACAAATCATCTAATCATAAATCACCCTGCTAACATGTTAGAATAATTTTCATCTAAGGGAAACAAATTTGATTGTATTACTCCTCAATTTAAAAAGGGGTAAAGAACTTTTACCTAATGCTTATAAAGGAAAACGAATCTCCTAGGTTTGGCCTCTGAGGTGCTCCACCTGATCTCACCCTATACTCTCCCACTTCCTCTCCGGCCCCAGCTTTCCCCAAACCCTTCACACTCACTTTCTCGAGGTTCCCTAACATGCCACTGTACACGCTGTCCCCTCGTAACCCCACTGTCTGGCAGAGCAGCTGCTGCACTAGAGGTACTCAATAAACACTTGATTTAATTTTAATATACTGAAATTCATTAAAAATTTTGAAAAATGTTTACCATGCAAAAGAAAGTAGACCTTTCAAAGGCTAGTTACAAGTCTTGAATAACGTGATATTTAACTGAGGAAAGAATTCTATCATCAAATATTTAACAAAATACACATTGCATTCGATCGCTGCTGCACATGACAAGGTTTGCGGAAGCAGTCGGAACACGTGTGTGTTCTGGTTCTCCCCAGGCTCAGGTGGCCTGCAGAGCGAACAGGCACACGTGGATTACCTCAGCGGCTCTCCTCTTCCCAATGTTCCAGCCACAGTACTGCTCCAAAGACTTGGCAGAAAAGCAGCTGGCAGCTTCACCTAGAAGGCACAGACCCAAAAAACTGAATAGTTATGACCTAATTCAAATCTTATTTGCTGGTGGCATGTCCAGAAGTTTCTTTACACTTCTTTATTGAAGTATGTCCCTTACCGGGCAAGTTCAGATGCTTCTCCTTGAAAGAGAAGGCATCTCATTCATGTGTGCTCAAAACTACCCCCCTCCTTGGAAAAATGGCTTCTTTGGTGGAGAAAGGTAATCTACTAGCCTGAAGCCACTATCACAAGTGGAAATGGTGCTTCTCTAGAAGTCAGGAGACCCCAGGTCGAGCTCTGGCCTTGCCATTAACTAAGCGGCCATGGGGAACGCTACATCACCTCTCTGGGCTTCAGTCTTCTTATCTGTAGAATGAGACTGTTGGGAAAGATGATTTCTGAATGAAGGCAGCTCTAATACCTTGTATTTGTACCAAAAAAAAATTTTTTTAAGAGATTTTTAATGTTTTCTTTTTGCTGGGCTACAAAAAATGTCACTGCAAATTTACCCTGAACTACATCAAAATGATCCTTGGAACTTCAACCAGGAGACAAAGATAATTTCTGATTTTACAAATGGAATGAAATAAAAAGGGTTTTACGTGGCCTACCATTTTCATCTTTGCATGAATGTAATATGATAATGTGCTTCATCCTTCCCTCTAATGTTCACCATGATCTCGCACAAGAACATACACCTACGGATCACCTCAGGAGGGCTACTGATTCTGACAGAACTGTGCTTAGAAGCCAATTACTCAGTCTGGCTAACAACAGCAGTGACAGAGCAGACTGCTGCTGGAGGCCATGACAGTAGTGCATTGCTGCAGTGAGTGACAGTGAGTGGTGGAGGGAAGATGAACGGCTAGAGCTAGGTTTGTATCCTGCCTCATCACCCATTGCTAGTGATCTTGTGAAAGTTGCTTCACTTTACCGCTCCTTGATTTTCTCATCTGTAAAACTGAAATGACTTCACCTATCTCCCAAAAGACTAAGACAGGAATGTAACAAGCCTACATAATCTGGCATACTGTAGGCATATGTTAACGTCTTTTCTTATTAATAAACATTAAAACCAATGCAGTTTTATTATATACACAACAGATTAATGATTTACATACAAGAAATGTGAAAAATTCCTCCTGCAGATCAAACACGTAAGACAGTACAAGTCCAACTGGTTGACCAAGACTTGTGACTTCTAAAACCCTGCAAATGAGCTATAGCTGTAGCTAAAACCTCCTAAGATAGCTACCATATCAGTATTAATTTCCAATGCAAGTAGTTTATGTTGACTCAATATCCGTAGTTCACAGCTTTAAAAAAATGCATGCAGCCCTGGCCGGTTTGGCTCAGCGGTAGAGCATCATCCCATGAACCAATGAGTCGGGGGTTCGATTCCGGCCAAGGGCACATAACTCAGTTGCAGTTTGTCCCCAGCCCCGGTCGGGGTAGTGCAGGAGGCAACAATCGATGTGGGACACATTGATGTTTCTCTCTCTCTCTCCCTATCTCTCCTTCCCACTGTATCTGAAGATAAATAGAAGAATATCCTCAGGTGAGGATTAAGAAAAAAAAAAAAAAATGCATCCATATATTTAGTATAAGTGTCTTACTTTTAGCAGTGATTAATGGGATCTTCTTGACTACTGCTGTTAAGAGTTGCTGGATAGTCTCTAAATGGTCTATCCTGAGAAGGATACAAGAAAAGAAAATTAACGTCATAAATACACTTATAACGGTTTCAAGCCATATACACACATAAATTTATGTACTTATTCCCCCAATATGAGGGAATTAAACTTTTAATTATACTGGCAGGTCTCTCCTTCTATAGATAGCCTTCTTTATAACAGATCATTCTATGCTTAAAAAGAAAGCATCAGACTAAATAAACAGATGAGATCCCAGAGATGGCAAATTATGCAAATATCAGACATTTTATTTTACTTATATCTGTAAACAGCCACATGATCTTTTTGCATTGTGATTGCCACTAGAGCAGAAAAATCCCATCATACAAATGCCTATATTAGTGTTATTTCAGTTCATGCTGTCAACTATCATGTGAAAGTGGCTAATTTTCCACTGTCCCCAGCAGTTTGAGATACATTAAAATATGTGGTCAGAGTTGGGAACTGGAAAATCGTATTAAGTATTTTTAGAAGAAGCAGTGAGTGCATAAAGCCTATGAAAAGGCAGTTGTTTAGGCAGGTGTGTGGGTACTGGAACACAAAATGTGTCCACACCTGAGTAATTACATCATATGCAAAGCATGTACATGCGGGCAAGCTCACTGGAGGGAGATCTGCAATTACACCTGAGGAGATAAACCAAGTGCCGCCTCAGGCAACATTAATGTGTAAAACGGAGACTGCATCAAGTGGTAATCCTTGTTCACTGCACATGGCCAGGTCCCCACCCAGCAAAGGACTGAACACCACACACACAATTCTACACATATTCAACTGCCACAAGCATGGTTTTTCAAAAGTTTCAGAAAAACACCCAAAGCACAACTCCCTTAGAAAGAACTGAAATAATTACTTAATAACATAGTTTCCCAGCTCAGAACTTTCTTCTGTTTTCACTGCTGTCTGACCCTCCAGAGAGAGGCAGCTTGGCCCAGGAGTTTCTGGTTCAGTCTTCACTACAAGGGAAGAGCAACAAAGAGAGAGCTGTTAGGGATCAATGATGGCAGGACACGTGCAGGCAGAACAAAAGCCCTTCCGTGGAAACCCTGTGAGGAAACTGCCACACCAGCTGCTGTAGGGACATAGCCAGGGGACTGAGATGGCGCCTATCATCACAGGGTCAGCAGACAAGGGACAGACTGTTAGCTTGGGTCTTGTGGGTCTTTGTCTTTACTGTCCCCTTAATATGGCAAGCCCTTGACCTCCCCACAGCTAAAAATGCTTCTCTTTTAAAGTCCAGGTTATAATCCATGTCCCATACAAAGTCCTATCCCCCTCTACACCCTACCAACCCTGACCAGACATCCTAGATTGAGATATTCTAGCATTCATTTTCCAGATCACTTATCCTGCATTTAGCAATCATTGCTTACTGTCTACCTCAATTCTCTTCAACACAAAAGGCAGAAATAATGCTACATCTTTCTGTTTCCCTCAGTGTTGAGTCTCTATATAAACAGTACACATCTTTGAGGTGGCCGATTCATAGATACTGAAAATTCAAGGGACTCATTAATGTCTTGCATAAAACCTGTGGGCAAATATACTGTGAGAAACTACATACCTTTTGTAACAGTTGCTGGAGCTGAGCTGTGGACAACTGGAGTTGGGGCAGCTACAGGCAGAATGGTAGGTGACTTGCTGGCAGAAAATGACTGAACCACTAACAGGCAAAAAAAAAAAGGAAGGGAAGGATGTAAGAAATATAGAAATTATTTAAATGAGGTTAATAGCCTGATTTTAGACTAATGGCACAAAAACTATCACAGTGCAAGAGAAATGGTAAGGTCCTTTTTATTTATTTATTTATTTATTTAATCCTCACTCGAGGACATTTTTCCATTTTTTGTTCAGATAGAGTGGGAGGGAGAGAGAGGACGAGAGAAACATTGACGCGAAAGGGACACATCGAGTGGCTGCCTCCCGCACCACCCAACCAGGGCCGGGGACAAAGTGCAACCCAGGTACGCGCCCTTAGCGGGAACCAAACCCGGGTCTCTCTGGACCGCAGGCCAACGCTCTAACTGCTGAGCCAAACCAGCCAGGGTGGTAAGGTCCTTTTCAATAGTGATTTTGACAGGGTAGGCTGTTTACTATTAGTACTGGGGTAACTGAGGCATTATCCATCAACTGTGGAAATGAGGGTTTGTCATTAAACTAAGAAAAGGAAAATCCAATTAACGTGCTCTCTCATAAATGCTTAAAATGTTCCCCCTCTTCAACTTTAGAAATGGCAACTATTAGTCACCTGGGTCTCACTCAGTCCTGGAGTTGGTGCTCCAGAGTTATAGGTGCCATGGAGTACTGTGACAGCCAAAGGGCAGGCTGCACAAGGGGGGAGCAGTCACCATCTGACAGAATATGGACTCCCCCACCCAGACAGACCTGGAGACAACCACAGTACGACAGGCCCATGGTGAAGTACTCACCTTTATTTACAGGCATCAGTATGGTCTGCACACCTCCAGATGTATTTACACTGAGTGGTTTGAGCTGGCTGGGGATCGTCAGGACAGCCTGCTGGGGATTGGATTGACTGGAGTGAATCTTTAATAACCCTAAAATGAGTTGGAAGATAGGGCCAAACTGAAGATCAGATGCTTCCTTGAAGTTCCTGCCTTCGTCAGCATTTGTATTTTCTCACAAGAGGAAGTTCTTAGGACATTTACCTTTCCAATAACAAAGAGCTGGAAGCATGAGGCAAGGGATGTGGTAATTCCACAATGAAACAATGATGTAATGATGATGATTTATTTTTTACCTCATAATCACAAGTACAGAGATTTTTGGAAAAGCAGAACTAATAGAAAGAAGAAAAAGTCACTCAACGTTCTACTGCAGAGACAACCAGTAGGGTACATTTTGAGAGAGTTCCATGTTTGTTTTCTATGACAATTTATTTCTTTTGTATATAGTTGCAATATGCACAAACTTGGATATAAAAATTTTTATTTTGATTTGGATAATTGCCATTTTCCTACTTAAAACCTTCTCTGACGACTGACTGCCTAGAGATTGTTTCCAAAATTGGTTTCAAAGATTATAGAGTCCATTTTAATCTGGTCCCAATTGACTGGCATCTCCTTCAAACCATCCCTATATATTAACTCTTCCATCTGTCCACTCTCTATCCCTTATTATTTCCTATCTCTGTGCAGCCTCTATTTTTCAAACATCAGATATTTTCAACTTGGCATTTCGGAAAGGGTCATCCTCTCCCACTTTCCTTCAAAGGTCACTTCCATGTTCCCACTTCCATTATAGAACTGTTTTAGGCATTCAGAGGGTCAATAAAAAATAACAAGGGCGTTACTGTGAGAGAGTACAGAAGAAACAACACAAACACCTGTTATAATGTAACTAGTTAAAAACAGCATCAGTGGCTAAAGATACCTGAAGGCACTGGAAAGCAGCTGCTCTAAGGAAACGAGTCATCTTAAATACTTTCTAGAATAAAGCCTTAAATAAACAAGAAAATCTTTCTCTGCAATAGATGAGTGTTAAATTAGACGTTATAAGTACTTACTGAGATTTCAGTAGGTCTCAAGAGAGTGAAACAGTGACCTGATCTTTTCATATTTTTAAAATTCTTATTTTAATTACAATATTACATGTGTATCAGTTGAAAAGTAAAAAGTGCTAAAAGCACTAAAACTAAAAATAGCCATCCTTGGCTCCACCTCCCTAGCATCACCTAGTTCCTTAGTAGCATCCACTTTTAACCCTTTTGGTCCTTTCTTTAATATTTATCTCTGTATTTTTTAAAATAAAGTATATATTGTAGGCTTTGATTCATTTTGATGTAACATTTTTTTTTTTTTTTTTTAATCCTCACCCGAGGACATTTTTCCATTTTTTTTTTTTGTTCAGGTAGAGTGGGAGGGAGAGAGAGGAAGAGAGAGAGAGAGAGAGAGAGAGAGAAACATCGACGCGAAAGGAACACATCGAGTGGCTGCCACCCGCACAACCGACCAGGGCCGGGGACAAACTGCAACCAAGGTATGGGCCCTTAGCGGGAACCAAACCCGGGTCTCTCTGGACCACAGGCTGACGCTCTAACCGCTGAGCCAAACCAGCCAGGGCCAGATATGCATTTTAAAGCACTTATACATACCCTTTCTTTCCTAATACTCCCAATATTGTTCTCTACTGATCCAAAGAATACCACAATATTGTGATTCCATTTTATTTTCTGGGCTTAATAATTTCCTCCTTTTCATCTGTTTAGTTATTTCTCTTTTAACATCTAAGTCTTCCCACTTCCTTCAAGAATGCTTAATACAATTCTCCACATACTCAAATCTCCTAATAATTTACAGTTCCCATTTTTTAATGTTTTTATTGATTTTTTTTTTTAATAGAGAGGAAGTGTGAGAGAGCTAGAAACATCAATGTGAGAAACACTGATCTGCTGCCTCCTGCATGCCTCTCACAGGGGATCGAGCCTGTAACCCAGGCATATGCCCTGACCGGGAATTGAACTGGGACCTCTGTCCATGGGACAATGCTCAATTCACTGAGCCACACTGGCCAGACTACAGTTCCCATTTTTATAAGAGATACATTTCCTGGAGCTCTCTGATCTGCTCCAATGTGCACTGCTTCTTTCTAGGCCTGCGGCAAAGCACTCATCCTGGGGACATCCTCCACCATTAACCTGGGAGTATTCTTTGCCTTCCATGTTGGATCCTGTTTTCCTCTTTCTTGATCTATAACTCCTCTGGTAAAACATATTTTAGTAATGTCTCGAGATAGAGTGCATGGGAAATATATCTGCAACTTTACCTGTCAGAAAATATGTCTACCCTTACACTCGGTATTGTGCTGGTTGACTATAGAATTCTAAACTGTAATTTCCCCTAGAATTTTGAAAAGCTGTATTCATTCTAGCTTACATCATTGCTTCAGAAAAGCCAATGGTAATGTAATTTCTGAACTTTTCTTTATTTAACAGCTTTTAAGATCTTCTTTGTTCCTTGTGCTGTGATTTCATGAACAAATGGTACCACCATGTGAGCCATCTTTCAATCACTGTGCTGGACACTGACTTTTTTTTCAATTATTTATTTATTTAAAAAAATTTTAAATTTTATTAATTTTTAGAAAGAAAGAGGAGGGGAGAGAGAAAACATCGGTTTGTTGTTCCACTTATTTATGCATTCATTATTGCTTCTCGTATGTGTCCTGACCAGGTATCAAACCCACAACCTTGGTGTATCAGGACAACGCTCTCACCAACTGAGCTACCCAGCCAGGGTCTATAAAAAAAAATTTTTTTTTAAGGGAAGACTAGACTTTTTTTTAAAAATTAATTTTACAGAGGAAGGGAGAGAGAGAAACATCAATATGAGAGAGATAAATCAATCAGCTGATAAATCAATCAGTTGCTTTCTGCACACGCCCCAACTGGGGATTGAACCTGCAACTAGGTATGCACCCTGACCAGGAATCGAACTCAAGACCTTCTGGTGCAGAGGACAATGCTCCAACCAACTGAGCCAAACTGGCCAAGGCTGGACACTGTGACTTTTGAACCTGGAAGTTCATGCCCTTCAATTCTGGGATAAATTGTTTCATTTCTCGGATCATTTCCTTCCCACTATTTTCTGTTTTCTTTCTGGAACTCCTTTTAGTCTGATGTTGCCGGGGCTCCCTGATACATCATCGAATTTTCTTTCTTAGTGTCTACTTCTTGGTCCGTTCCCCTGCTTCCACTTTGGGCCCCATAGTTTAGTCTAAAGGCTGCAGCCAGTGATCCTGTTAAAAGGTAAGGCAGATCATGTTACTCTTTAGCTTTAAAACCTCCAGTGACTTTCCTTGGAGTAAAAGTCCAAGTTCTTAGAGTGACCTACAGAGGCTCTAAGTGATCTGGCCTCCATCACTCTGACTTCATCTCTAGTGCTCCTTCCCTTGCTCACTCTGCTCCAGTCACAATGGTGATGGACCTTGTTCAAACTAGTTTATAATGCACACAAAAACTGAGTTAAAAAATTACTAGTCAGTAGGAAATACTTTCATTCTTTTATAAAAATATTATTCAGGAAGTTTCATCACAGGGGCTTATGAAACTAGAACTTAAAGCAGGGAGATTTCATTTATTGCATGTTAAAAACTTAATCAGAAAAGTGGAGGGCATTCATTTCTCATAGTATCTACTTCAGTCCTGACACATTGCCTCCAAACATTCAGTTAGTAGAGAAAAGCACTCCCTTTACTAGATAGAATTTGATCAATTTTATCTGGGAGGAGGAAGTCATGGAAAAACAGACTGGCCTTCATCTTCTGCTAACTACTCCAAAGCAAACAAGACATAGGGGCTTGGTTTAAAGTCATGTATGGAACACAGTGATGATAATAATTACAACAACAACAATATCCTCAATCTTTAATCCAAAAGTACTAAGGTGTGTGCATTTATACATGTTTGTGTGGAGGTGTATATATCTCAGTGACACTTAGTTTTTCCTGTTTATCAGTGCCAACTGGCACACTATTATCAATCTATAATATTAATCTGTTACAGTATTATAAAGAGTATTAAGAAACTTTTGTAACAGTATGACATTCCTGTGATATTTTTATGTTTTATAAAAGTATCTATATATATGGGATTATAGAAAAACAAAACTGATCTCTTAAGTCTAGAAGCAATGCTGTAAATTTATCAGCCCCTGGCATGTAGGACAGCACGATGTAAACAAATACATTAGTATTTCTTTGGCAAAATATGAATACTCATATTAAGTAGTATAAATAGCCTATCAATGGAGGTCAGATTTCACCCTAAAATTAATTATGAAAAACAAACAAACAACACAAAAAAACAATCCTTTCGTTTTCACAACTTTTTGGATTTTAGACTTGCAGATAAGAAAATGTGGACTAATAACAACAATGACACTGTAAATGATAATAGTAGCAATTATTTATATAGTGGCTACTACATGTCAGCCATGCATTAATATATTAACTCATTTAATCCTCTCAACTTTATGAGGTAGGTATTATTATCAGGAAACTGAACCAAGTTATTTTAATTAAGGCTTCCGGATTTGTGCTCTATATGTTACCCAACAAAGTAAAAGGCACACTTTTCTGGGACCCTTCAGTGTCATAAACATATCATTCATCTTGTCAGACCTCAAGCATGTCACCCTAATATTATCCAATATAATATTAATGTTAAAAAGCATGACTTGGGCCTGGCCAATGTGGCTCAGTGGACTGAATGTCATCCCATAGACTGAGAGGTCCCAGTTTGGTTCCCAGTCAGGGCATGAGCCCAGGTTACAGGCTCGATCCCCAGTGGAGGGCATGCAGGAGGCAGCCAGTCAAAGTATCTCTGTCATACCAATGTTTCTATCTCTCTCTCCCTAAAAAGTCAATAACATATTTTAAAAAAAAAGCATGGCTTGGAGTCACTAAGGCTAATTTATATTTTATGTTTTGTTTGTGAAAGCAAAGAGATATATGATAAAATATTTTACAATGAGTTCCATTTAGAACTGATTTTTAAAAAGAAATTGGTACTTTAAGGAAAGTAAACCCTCAGCTTTTCACAATTACATTATGAAAACAGCTAAAATACCCAATAGAGCTCCAGATGGCTAAAGTTTTATTATATCACTTAAAAATAATTATTCAAGAAAAAACAGGCCCTGGCTGGTGTGGGTCAGTTGGTTAGAATGCTGTCCCATGTACTGAAAGGTTATAGGTTCGATTCCTAGTCAGGGCACATCCTCAGGTTGCAGGTTCATCCCTGCAAATTTAGGAGGCAACCAACTGATGTTTTTCTCTCACATGGATGTTTTTCTCTCTCCCCCTCTCCCTCTCTCTCTAAAATCAATAAAAACATATCCTTGAATGAGGATTTAAAAAATAATAATAAAAGAAATCATTTTCAATCTATGAAACCACTCAAAACTTAAACATTTATACATATTTTAAGTAATAATTTATATAAAAAGCAGTTAACTGGAAAATGTTGCTAAACTATTTTTAGAAACTTATAAAAATATTGTTTAAGACTTCCCAAAAATAGTATAGCCCAAAGAAGGGAGAGAGAAATAATATGTTTATGATACAACTGACCTGATACTGTAGCTTTTCCAGAGATGGGGTTTGGTGTGGACACCAGAGACGTGGCACTGATGACAGAGGGAGCAGCAGACTTGCAGGTTCCCATGGTGGCCTGGCTCACACACACTTGTTGCTGCCCAGTTTTCATTATAGAACCTATAGTAGATGATGAACTGGGAGCTGTTCCTTCTGACTGCTCATCCACAGGGTCAGAAATAACAGAAATTAAAAAGAAAGCAGAAACTTAGGTAGAACAGTGACTGCCATGTAGCATCCTCAATAAACCTAATTTATTAGCTATTATTACCTACCTATTAAATGTCATGCCATTTAGAAAGACTGCTTCTCTAGTTTGGCAGGTTCTATACTTTTAGATTTCATGGGCCAGGAAAAGTTTTATACAAGGAGGTATCACAGGATTACCACATTAAAAAAATACTTCATTCCTTTTTATAGTTAAACAATATTCAATTTTATGGATATGCCACATTGTTTATTAAAATTGATAATGAAAAGACAATAACCCACTAAATAATGAGCAAAGGATCTGAATAGCCACTTCTCCAAAGATATACAAATCTCCAAAAAAACAAACAACAAAAAAAATCCACATGAAAAGATATTCAGTACTATTAAGCTACAGGGAAATGCAAATTAAAACTACAATAAATTACCAGTTCACACCCACTAGAATGACTATAATTAAAAAATATGGATAAGAACAAGTATCAGCAAGGATGTGGAATCCTCATACATTGCTTGTGGGAATCTAAAACAGCGCAGCTGCTTGGAACAGTTTGGCAGTTCCTCAAAAACGTAAACAGTTACTAGATGATCTACCAATTCCTTGCCTAGGTATACAGCCAAGAGAAATGAAAACATGTTATACAAAAATGTGTACAAAAATTACATGTGTACATGGCAGTATTATTCATTGTAGCCAAAAAGTAGAAACAACCTGAATGTCTGCTGACCGCTACTGGGTACAGAGCATTTTTTTTTTCAGAATGATAAAAAAAATGTTCTAGAATTAGATGGTGATGGTTGCACAATCTTGAGAACATAATATAAACCACTAAACTGTACATTTAAAAATGGTGAATTTTAGGATATGTAAATTACATTTCTATTTTTAAAAAGAGCAATATAGCTCACTGGTGTGCCCATTGAATATCTTATGTTTTTACTACTTTTAGGTTTCATTATGATTTTCTACTGTCATGCTAATTCTCACCTGCTGTGCAGGACCATTTGCTGAGAGGGCCACAGCTGATGAAGTGGCAGTTGTGATAACCCCTCCTGCTACTCTCAGCATTGTGGTTCCAGGCTTTGAAAGTTGTGAGGTGGCTGGCACCGACTTCAATGTACCATCAGATATTTTCATTAGTGACGCCTGTCCCCCAGGGGCTGCCTGAAGAAACATAATGGGTTGAAGTAATAATGCTGCCCTTGTCAATAGGCACAAATTATTCCTTACTTACATATTATTAAAGCATTATGAAGTGTTTGTGCACCTTTCCAACAAATTCTCAAGTCAATGACTTTTTACCTACAAATGTTCCTTTACCCCTAATGTACAAGTAATTGAATGCACCTGCAAGCAACTATTTGGTAGCAGTGTCTTCAAAGACATTAGGCCATTTGTTATCAAATTAATTGAGTTCAAAGTGCTCCTAAATTCAATCTTTAAACATGAACATTGAGCTGAGAGGGCCAGATTTAAATGGGTAAATTAATGGTGCTCTAGCTAGTACACGATTAACATTTAGTACTGGAGAATCATTCAACAAATTATACCAAATGGAGTTTATCCCAGGAATGGAGGGTTGGTTTAATATTTGAAAAATCAATACAATTCACCATATTAATAAACCAAAAACGAAAAATGGTATGATGATTATCAACAGAAAAACATCTGACAAGAATGTAGTATCTATTCCATGCTTTGAGAACTGCTGACTTCTATAGTCATAGAAAATACATTGTTTGTTGATAAATGGTATCATACTATCTACATCCTTATTTGTTTTATTTGGTAAGTTTCTGAGATCTAGCTATAGATTCAAGTGATTATGATATTCCTCACCCAGTTAATACTCCCTGTCATTATTCTTTGGCTTGTACAAAAAAAACCCCGTAGAAACATGCATCAAACTCCCTGTAGCATTTACTTACTGTATGAATAGTGTGCTGAAATCACCTTACACTATTAAGAATCTCCTACATGAAGTCCCTCCAAAGAAATTTTAGAATTAAGTATCAAGAAAATTTCTGTTTCTTCTAGGAAATATTATGTATTTAGTTTTTTTTCTCTCTCACAAATAATGTAAATTTTATAACTGATTCTGCTTCTCATTTTGCTTTGGCAAATTTTATTAACTATACAAGACATTACCGTTTGCATATCTAAATAACTCTGGTTGTATATTCTAATTCTATGTTTTACCAAATCTCAATATTTTATTCTTATTTTTCTTTACCATTTTATTATTCATTTTCTTATGTAATCTTAATTTCTTTGCAGAAAGAATAGTTGTAAATATGTAAATAAATGCTACAATCACCATGTATGTGTGTGTGTGTGTTTACCTGGGTAAACAAAGTGGTTTTTTGTCCAGAGATGACTTTTAATGTTTGTTGCCCTTGTGCAGAAGATGGGCTGACTCCCAGTGTTCCTTGGACCACTGACCCAGTAGTCAGCTGTTTTCCAGATGTCTGGGGTGATGGCTGGCCAACTAAAAATGTACCCTGAGTTAGAAAACATAAAGACCTAATCAGTAATTTGTTAAATTCAAATAACCTCCTCTGATCATTTAAATCACAAGGTTCCATGTTTCAAGCTACAATGCTCCCTTATTTTGCAACTCAGTCAAAATAACTAAAAAGAGCCCGGCCGGTGTGGCTTAGTGGTTGAGCATTGACCCATGCACCAAGAGGTCGCTGGTTTGATTCCTGGTCAGGGCACATGCCCAGGTTATGGGCCAAATCCCCAGTGGGGTCATGGAGGAGGCAGCCAATCGATGTTCTCTCTCATTGATGTTTCCATTTCCTCTCCCTCTTCCTTCCCTTCTCTCTAAAATCAATAAAGAAAAATATTTTAAAAAAACCCAACAAAACAAAACTGAAAAGAATGATGTTCGGTGTCACTACCAACAGTTATCCCCACTTTTCAAACTTTGCAAAGTAGTTATGAAGCAAGTGTTGGAAACTCGAGTTTGGTAATCTAGTTCTCAAAGCTGGATTTAATCATTCAGACTGATTACTATCCATCCTTCTCAATAAAAATGTCTGGAGTCAAAACTCCATTACTTTTCTTAGAGGAGAGCCAAGACTTTGTGAGAAGGGGAAAGAAGGTGGAAATCTGGAATCCAACCTAACTCCAAATACCACAGTCCGATAGCATCTCTTTGGTTACTCCCTTCTAAGAAAAAAGTGTGAACTGCACATTAACACTGTTTTTTACCAGATGAATTTCAGAGGCATTAGCATGATGAAAATCTGTGAGTCAGAAAGATCTGGGTTTAAATCCAAAGCCAGCACTGGCTTAGTAGAGAGGCCTTGGAAAAGTTACTTAGTCTTTGTAAATCTCTACATCTGCTCTCAAAACAAAACAAAACAAGCCCCTCAAAATACCATTCATAACATGGCTAAAATATTAGTATTGATTCCTGATCCCAGAGCTGTAATGGTAAATCCAGTATAATTAAGGGCAGTTATTAAATAACTAAATGATTTAAAAAACACCAGTCACAGTGATCAGACCTGGGGTGTTTGCTTGAGGATATAAGATGTGTAAGTCAGGTGCTGGGATATCCCTCCAGGCCCAGCAGGGCTTTGGGTTCCTCCTGTCCCTCCTCCTCCACTGCTGCTGCCTCCACTGCCACAGCTGCTGCTGCCTCCTGCACCACCAGCACTACTGGCAGCTGAGCTGGCCTGTAGGTCTGCAGATACAACGAATGACAGCGACATCACAAAAAGAAGCTTAATGGGAAAAGGTAAGCCCACAGAGATACTTCCTTACAGTACCATTCCTTCCCTTTCCTATTTTCCTCCTTTCTCTGATAAGAATGAGAACTTCATAGAGTTGAAGAGTGACATCTATTTACTTTCAACTGAAGGATAGTTGACTAGTTCAGCTCTGAGTACAATGAAGAACTTATCTTGACAACTGTTTTGACTTAGTTGTGAAAGATCATGAGAGGTCTAATGCTGACATTTTCTAACCAAGTGTTGATTTTAATAGTACTTCAATGTGCTCAGACATGCTTCCAAACTTTTTGGCATCTGATTCAATTTCAGTGAAACTGCTGGAACTTAGTGTAATTTTACAATACTCTTTTCCATCTCCCAATACCCGTAGAAAAAAAAAACGGATTTCCTCATATTTATGATGACTCTAGAGCCCTACCTTTTTTGCTCTTAAAATTCTACTTTAAAGCCTTTGGACCCTTTTTACTTCCCTTTGGGTGACATACTGTATATTAATTAAAATCTAAGTAGCTCTCTGACAAATTTTGGAATACTTACATTGTTCTTGTCTTACATATCTAACTTTTCAATATACCACTGATTAGGTATGAGGAAAAAAATACCAGGGTGGGAGAATGGAAATCACCCTTTAGAGTCAATAAACAAAATGGTGATGAGCTTACACACTGCATTTTGGCAACAGTGGCTGATTTCTAATGAACTTGATTGCTGTACTTCTGATTCAGAGGGAAATAATTCCTTTGACCTTTTCCTTTACAACACTACTCCAATTGTTTTTCTCTGTGTATTAAAGTGAAAGTTTATATAAGTCTAGATAAACCACTTAATTTCCTTGGGGCTTTATGACATACAATGAGGCTGACCCTGTGCTTCTTTTTCCATCTCCAAACCTAGCAAACTTAAGCAGCGTATCTAAACAATAGCAACCAGAGACACTTGATTCCAGTCCCATTCCCATCACCTTTAAATGAAAAATAGGTTCCAGTGACTGGAAGTAGACAGAACTTCTCCCCAGGTGTCACCAGTAATCACTGAAAGGAAGATCTTTCTTCATTTACAGTTCTCAGACAGCTTGCTCGCAACAAAACCTAAATAGCCGTACCTCCTCGGTGTAATTTGTCCCTGATGCCAAACTCTGAGTAGGTCAACCCAAAATAATAGTGCCATCTCCTAGGACTAGGACTATGATTATTTAAAGCCAATTCTAGTTAAATTATGTTTTAAATTATGTTTAAAACATGTTTTAAATGCATTTAGACAAATACTACCATTATATCCTCAGTACTAGGATTTCTGATACAGGTAAAAACTGCTCCTCAGGTGGATGAGATGAACATAACCAGGAACTCAAGAACAAAATGATTTAATGATGGACTAACTAGCATTGTTGGTGGCTCGCAGGATGGCTCCTTGAGGGATCAGCAGCAGTTTTCCTTTTCCTGAAGGGTTCTTGCTGTTTGTTGTAAGGTAGAGTTTAGTGCCTGGTGGCAAATTTGCTAAGTTGGCCAAATTAGTGGCCGGTAGCTGCAATGTTGCCATTACTAAAATGGTAAAAAGAAAAGAAGAAAATCAATAAGATAAAAATGGAACTTAGGGCAATGCCACCACTAAAATTAAAACACAGAGTAATAAAATACTTATTAAAAAGCACTAATAAACAGTAAACTCTATATTCTGTTTCCCAGATGCAGTGTTTTAAAGGCAGATATTCTCTCTTTCTTTAAATTAATTCTCACCCAATGATATTTTTCCATTGATTTTTAGAGTGGAAAGGAAGGAAGGAGAGACAGAGAGAGAAAAACATTGATGTGAGAGAGACACATCAATTGGCTACCTCCTGCATGACCTTGACTGGGGCCAGGGATCGAACCTGAAACCCAGGTACATGCTCTTGACCAGGAATCGAACCCGAGACCCTTTGGTCTGCAGGCAGATCCTCTAACTGCTAAGCCAAACCAGCCCAGGGCAAAGCAGATGTTCTTTTAAAAAAATTGTATTGATTCTTTACAGAGAAAGGAAGGAAGAGACAGAAACACTGATGTGAGAGAGAAACATCAATAGGCTGCCTCCTGCATGCCCTCCACCAGGGATTGAGCCTGCAACCCCGGCATGTGCCCTGATTGAGAATCAAACCAGGACCTCTCAGTCCATTGATGATGCTCAATCCACTGAGCCACACCTGCCGGGCAAGGCAGATATTCTTAAATATCATGCCTTCACAGAAACAACACATCAAAGCCTAAACCATATTCAAGTGTTTCAACTTTTGTTTGGGAGAGAATGCATTAGTCAAATATCTCAAAATGCTGCAATGACCATACCAAGTTTAAGTCTGAAATACAACCCAAAGTGGAGATGAGGACAAATGAGAATTATTCTTCAAACCTGAAAGCAGTATCATAACAAATACCCTCAATTTTTATTATTACTGCTAACATGAATGCGCGTGTGTGCGCGTGCACACACGCACACACACACCCTTACTAGGTTTCCTAGGCAGAACCAAATCCAAATAAAATCACTAGCAAAGAACATTTTGGTAGGCACTGAAAGGGTCCCCAATTAGTATTACCTGAACCCTGGGATCCACTCTTCTGAGGGCCAGCAGCAGTGACCTGAGCCTTGGTTAGGGCTTGCACTGGCTGAGCGACAATGGTTCCTCCACCTCCACTCACAATTGCTTTGGCAACTCCTTGGGTCACAACTTGCTTTGGACCAACTGCTTTGGCGACGGAAGAGCTGGCCTTGGCTACAAGGATTTGGCCACCACTGATCGCTACAGCCTGTTTCACTGCTGAAGGTAAAGTGGATCCAACTGGCACCCCGACAACCTGTTCAAAACAGAGGAAAGTCCAGCAGTGCCTCTTTTCATAGTCCTTTCGAGAGCTCTTAGAACAGAACAGTCACTGTGTTCTAGCAAAGAACAAAGCCCTAGAGCCCTGGCCGGTTTGGCTCAGCAGTTAGAGTGTCGGCCTGCGGTCCGGAGAGACCCGGGTTCAGTTCCCGCTAAGGGCATGTACCTCGGTTGCAGTTTGTCCCCAGCCCTGTTGGGCCGTGTGGGTGGCAGCCACTCGATGTGTCCCTTCACGTCGATGTTTCTCTCTCTCTCTCTGTTCCTCTCTCCCCCTCCTACTCTACCTGAACAAAAAATGGAAAAATGTCCTCGGGTGAGGATAAAAAAAAAAAAAGAACAAAGCCCTAGATATAGTACATGGAGTCTAATCCAATGCAGGAAGGCAACCTATGATAGATGTGAACAACAATAATTCTTACAATTTGGATATTACAGTAAGAAGTTATAGTTTTCCTCTTAACCCCAGCTACTATCTAGTACTTGTTTTAATAATAAAAATATATTTTTATAGAAAATCCAGAAATGTACAGAAAAACCCTATTTGCCCTGGCCGGTTTGGTTCAGCGGTTAGAGCGTTGGCCTGCCGTCCAGAGAGACCCGGGTTTGGTTACCGCTAAGGGCACATACCTCGGTTGCAGTTTGTCCCTGGCCCTGGTTGGGTCGTGCAGGTGGCAGCCACTCGATGTGTACCTTTCACGTTGATGTTTCTTTCTCTCTCTCTCTCTCTCTCTCCCCCTCCCTCTCACTGTGTCTGAACAAAATATGGGAAAATGTCCTTGGGTGAGGATTAAAAAAAAAAGAAAAACCCTATTCATTCAGAAAACAAAATCTCTTAATATTTTTAGTGAATTTACTTCCAATGTTTTTCAATATTCATTTGAAAACAGATTAGGATCACACATACAAGTTTGTAATTTTTTTTTTAATCCCCACCAGAGGACATTTTTGCATTCATCTTCAGATAGAGCGAGAGGGAGAGAGGGAGGAAGAGAGAGGGAGAAACATCGATGTGAGAGAGACACATCAACCGGTTGCCACCCACATGACCCCAACCAGGGCCGGAGGCAAAGTGTAACCGAGGTACGTGCCCCCAGTGGGAACCGAACTTGGGTCTGTCTGGACCATGGGCCGACACTCCAACAGCTGAGCCAAACCAGCCAGAGCCAGTTTTGTAATTTTTAATTCTACATTATATCACAAGCATTTCCCAGTTATTATTTTTCAAAAATATTTTTAGATGACCAAATAATAATATTTGAATATATATACCTTAATGCATGTAAACATTTCACAAATCACAATTTTGTGAATATAACATTATTTTATTTTTTTGTTAATCTTCATTAGAGGATATTTTCCCCACTGATTTCTAGAGAAAGTAGAAGGGAGGGAGGAGGAGAGGAGGGGAGAGGGGGGGAGAAAGATGTGAGAGAGACCTACCAATTGGTTGCTTCTCGCATTTGCCACAACCAGGGCTGGGGATCGAACCTGCAACCTAGGTATGTGCCCTTGACCGGAAATTGAACCTGTGACCCTTTGGTGCTTGGGCTGATACTCTAACCACTGAGCAACATAAGCCAGGGAGATATTTTGGATAATTTTAAACTTTATTTTATGAAAAACTGCAATAAACAAACTCCACTATAAAAATTTAAGTACTATCTCTTCTATAATCCCTTCTATATTATTTCCACCTGAAAAAATTATTTCTTCATCTCTAGAACTCTTAACAACTCACATCACCTCTTCCGACTGATTTTTTTTTCAACTGACTTTTAAGAAGTTATCTTTTTCTATATACTTCTAATCTTTGCTTTCTTAAATGTAAACATTTGGTTAAAAATGAAAAGTATAAACAAAAATAATATTTAATCCATGGATGCTCAAGTCCCCTTATAAAATAGCGTAGCTCAAAGGATACAGTCAGCCTTCTGCATTTGTGGACTCCCAACCACAGACTGAAAAAAGTACAGGTATTTATTGGAAAAAAATTTGTGCATAAGTGGACCTGTGCAGTTCAAACCCAGGTTGTTCAAGGATCAACTGTATCTTTTATGTAGATCTTCAAACACACAAACATTACATGTTATGCTATGCTACGTGCTTACATAATAAAATTATGGACTGAAAAGCTACACATCCAAATTCATGATAGTGTTGCCTTTGGAAAGAACAAAGTGGACTTCAACTTTATCAGTTATGTTTTATTTGGAGTAAAATTTATTTAAATTAAATTTGAAGATGCTAATTCAGGGTGGAGGATATGTATTTATTATATTATTCTCTGTATTTTACTGAAATTTAGAATCTTTCTAAATTAAAGAATAGGATTGCTAAAAAGGTGGAAAAAAATGATAAACCAAATACAACTGATAAATGGGATTTTTAAGTTAAATAATTACTAAATCATACATGGTTTCTTTTCAAAGAATGTGAATAAAGACAAATACATTTTTGCCTGTGCTCGGATAATATGACTGATATAAAGAAAATGGTCCCCTAATCAACTGTTATAAATCACAGTGTAATAGTGTAGAGAAAAGAGTACATATTTTTCTAAGTGGCAGACCTGATTTCCTAGTTTTGCTTCATCAGTTAGTAGCTGGGTAAATTATTTAACCTCTTTGAGCTTTAGCTTTTCACACCTGATCTATAATCTATATCTCATAAGATTATGAGGCATAAATAAGAATATGTTTATAAAATGCCAAGCCATCACAAAGTACACAGTAAATGATAGCTGCTGCTAACCATGGCACACATTATTAACTGCAGAATGATAATCTATGAAACTACAGGGAGACTCAATGGACAGAGAGAAGAGAGCCAAAGGATAAACATTTGTCAATATCTTCAGCATTTTTCCAGGGCAGAGGACCTTGATCTTAAACCCTAGATTGTTAGTCAAAGAGAAATTAAAGTATATTAACATCTGACTTCTGCTTTAAAATATTCTAGGAAGAGAAGATTAGCAAAATGCTGATAATTGTTGAAACTAAGTAATAGGCACAAGGGATTCATTATAATAGTCTCTCCACTTTTATGTAAGTTTAGAAAGGAGGGAAGGAAAGAAGGAAAAAACAAAAGAATCAAAGAAACAATATTTTAAAAAGCAAGTTAAAATGGAGAAGGGAAATTCTCCCTGCTACCCTGGCTTGGTTAAAACAATCCCTTAGGATTATCCAAATCTCTTTATTTTGACTGTATGAGCCTCATTCTGCAGGCAACAGAATGTTGCTATAGCTGCAGAGTTGGGAAAGTCATTCCCCCTGGAGATGTGGACATATAAAAACTCTTCTTACTAACCAAGAAGTTTTCTGTGCATTCATAAAAAAAAATTTCTTAATAATAGAAAAATATTTTTGGTGTATAGCAGAAGCTGCCAATTGAATCTCAATATTCATTCTTTGCTTCTCTCTCATAATAATAGAGCCCCCAATTTTCAGCTAGGGACATGGCCACATAGAGTATCGACTCTACGCTCCAGCTCCAGCACAGGTAGGTTTGGTCATCTGATTTCTGGCTAAAGGCACGTGAACAGAAGTGATGAGTGCAACTTCTGGGTTATGCTTCTCTCCCTCCCCCGTTCCTCTCCTCTCTTCCTGCTGGCCAGAAAGGTGAACATGGTAGCATGAGATGAAGTAGCTACCTTAGTCCACAAGCTGAAAATCAAAATTTGAGAATGACAGAGCAACTAAATAGGATCTAGATTCTTGATGACTCCACAGTCATCAAAACCTAATGGTTTTTTATGTATGAGAGGAATAAACTTATTTAAGCCTCTGATTTTTAGATATCTTGGTTACAGCAGTTGAACTTTTTTCCTAAGACAACTCTTCACATTTCTTAAATATATCAAATTTAATAATCTATGGCATAAGCCAAATTACACATAATCTATTTTCATGTTCCTAAAGAAAAAAAGCTCTCAAAGGAAAGTAATACATACATACTGGATCTATTTTAATTTCTTTCCCCAAATTCCATGCATCTGACTTGCTTTTCCCTCCTTGTGCCAACCTCTATCCTAACCCTCAATTGCTTTAAAATTTTCAGGATATGACACAATCTCTCTCAGAGCCAAATAAAACATGGTATCTTAAATTGGCCACATGAGGGCAGTTATTACTAGCAAAGCTTATCCACTAAGAGCAGAGCCTCACAAGGTTAACAGCTCCTCCCTTGTTCTAAAAGACTGAGACTGAAGAAGTCTGGCATTCTACTGGGGTGAGGGGCGGGGCGGGGTGGAGGACCTACACTCAGCTCTACGGATAGCACCAGGAAAGCTCTTAAGTACTATAATCCCAAATTAGTTTTCTTTTTAACAATACAGTATTTAGGCCTAGAACCTTCTCTATATTCCTAATTTCCTCCTAGTTTTACAAAGCAGACACCCTTTGTTCAGTATTGTTAGAAATATACTACTTTGATTCAATGTTTCTATTTCTGCCTTTCCTGTGCTCTTTACAGACCTTTGCAAGCCAGCAAGATTCTGTACATGTGATTTTCCGTCCAGACACTGAAAAATACAGCCAATTAATTTAGTAGTCACTGATAAGATTATTATTACCATGGTACTCACTCATGCATGTATACAGAAGGCTCGTTCCCAGTCACCTACTATCATTTATTGAGCACCTGCTCTGTGCTAGATCCTTCATATACAATGATCTTTAATTCTCCTACTCTGAAAAACAGAGGATATTTTTCCAGAGATAAACCTTCCGAGGACACACCAGTAATCCTTGCTGAGGTGTGAGATTTGTAACAAGCTCTAGTCTGAAGTTCATGCTCTTTTTACTATACACACTGCTTGCTTCCCACATGAACCCACTAATTCCTGTCCCTTTTCATGTCAAAAGCAGTACCTCTCTCTACTTTCATGAAAAAGATAAGCTGTGTTTCCATTGTGCCAAAGTTGTATGAAGGTAAAACAGTATCATTTTGTTCACCCTTTTGTTTTCTAGCAGTTTCTAGGAATGCACTTCAGCAATAACCAGGGACTGTCTGTACTTGAAGATACCTCCTTATCGGGTCCAAAGCATGCACTCAATTTCCTGGATAAACAGTGATGCCCTTTCTCATGTTCTACTGCTTCTTTGCAGTTCTTTCACATTCTTCTGTGGCTTTTCTTTTTAAGTGCCCTTAAACTTTATTCAGGGCATTCTAGCACAAACTCCTCCACCTCTTCTTAGTCTTCATTGCCATTAGGTAGGTGGCAATGTGACAAGAAAGTCAATACAATTGTTTGGCTTTCTTTTTTTTTTTTTATCCTCACCTGAGGACATTTTTTGATATTTTGTTCAGATAGAGTGGGAGGGGAAGAGAGAGAGAGAAACATCGACATAAAAGGGACACATCGAGTTGCTGCCACCCGCAAGACCCAACCGGGGCCAGGGACAAACCGCAACCAAGGTATGCGCCCTTAGCAGGAACCAAACCCGGGTCTCTCTGGACTGCAGGCCGACGCTCTAACCGCTGAGCCAAATCGGCCAGGGCTACAGTTGTTTGGCTTTCAAAATGGATTTGCAGCCCTACCGGTGTGGCTCAGTGGAGTGAGCGTAGACCGATGGACTAGAAGGTCCTGGGTTTGATTTCCGGTTAGGGCAAATGCCTGGGTTACAGGCTCGATCCCCAGTAGAAAGACGTGAAGGAGGCAGCCAGTTGATGTTCCTATCTCTTTCTCCCTTCTTATCTCTCTAAAAAAATCAATAAAAACATTAAAAAAAATGGATTTGCAAAATGCAAAGTGGCACAAAGTGGAACTAAATTATCCTGAGCTTCTGAGTATACACAGCAGTGCTATATTAATTCAAAAGCCTCAATCAATAATACCATATATCTCCAGGTGAAGTAAAACAGATTTTGAAGAATATATAGAAAGTGTCTGAATAAGAAACCCACATGACAGTAATTTGTTCACTAAAGTACACTGACAAAATGCCCTGGCTGGTTTGGCTCAGCAGTTAGAGCGTCAGCCTGTGGGACCAGAGAGTCCCGGGTTCAGTTCCCGCTAAGAGCACGTACCTCGGTTGCAGTTTGTCCCCGGTCCCTGTTGGGCTTGTGTGGGTGGCAACCAGTTGATGTGTCTCTCTCACATCAATGCTTCTCTCTCTCTTCCTCCCTCTCTCCCTCATGCTCTATCTGAAGATAAATGTAAAAATGTTCTCAGGTGAGGATAAAAAAAAAAAAAAGAACATTGACAAAATGCTTGCCTTTGACCAAAACAACAGAGGGAGACAGTTGTAGCATGTGTTTCAGTGATTCTGGCTATGCAAGCCACAAAGTCACATTTGATGCTGTAGGCTCAGTGGTTCTTAAATTTGCCTAATCATGAGTCAGTAGGGGAGCTTTTTAAAAATCCAGATTCCCAGGTCCCCCAAGAAGATTCTGACTCAATAAATATGAGATAGGGGCCTAGGTATCTATATGTTTGTTTTTTAATCCACACCCGAGGATATTTTTCCACTGATTTTCAGATGGGGGTGGGGGGTGAGGAGAGAGAGAGAAAGAAACATTGATGTGAGAGAGATACATCAATTGTTTGCCTCCTGCACGACCCAGGGCCAAGGATCGAACCACAACCAAGGCACATGCCTTTAACTGGAACTGTACCAAGACTCTTTGGTCTGTAGGCCTATGCTCTAACCACAGAGCCAAACTGGCCAGGGCTCTATGTTTTTTTATTTCTTTATCCTCACCCGAGGACATTTTTCCATTTTTTTTTTTTTGTTTGTTTGTTTTGTTCAGATAGACTAGGAGGGAGAGAGAGGAAGAGAGAGAGAGAGAGAAACATTGACGTGAAAGGGACACATCGAGTGGCTGCCACCCACACAACCCAACCAGGGCCGGGGACAAACTGCAACCAAGGTACGTGCCCTTAGTGGGTACCGAACCCGGGTCTCTCTGGACTGCAGGTCGATACTCTAACCGCTGACCCAAACCGGCCAAGGTTCTATGTTTTTTTAATAATGGGATGATTTCTATGACCAGGTAAGTTTGGAAAGCAGTTAATGGACTCTTACAGATTTTAGAACCACATATATAACACTATAAATTTTTATCTCAATCCATCCTGTAGCTATCTAGACTAACCAAAATATCTAAAACCTTTTTCCATTTTGAAGTATTCCTCTCAAAACAATTCACTCGCCTTAGATAGGCTGGCTTTAAAGTTGAAAAGCAAACACTTCACATAATGTTCTTAATAGCCCTACAATATATCTGCCAAAAAAAATGAGATAATTTATTTCTGGATGTTCTAAAAGCATGCTTAGGTTACGGACAATGTAATAGCTCTAGAATGAGGAATCTTGGAGTCATCAGAACTGGGTTCAAATCCTATCACTTATTAGCTTTAGGAAAACATGGATCTATGTGCAATTTTACAGTTTTCCCAACACATTAATTCCCTACACCTCCAAATGATAAAGAAAAGAAACTCTCCATAGACCAAGAATCATTAAACAGATCACACAGTCTGAACACCAGAGGTATAAACTATAGCACTCTCCTATCAGAAATAAACAAATAAAACTGCAGACCTTGGTTTGTTAGTTACCCATTTTTGACTGAATTAGGTGGAATGTTGTGTCCACAAAGTCAATCACCTTCACTGCCAGAAGTAACACTGTCCCTTTGCCTCTCTGACTGTTCCAGAACCCTCTATAATACATGCCCCTGCTCTTGTCAATGGTTACTGTAAGAGCAGATGGATTTAAAATCGACTGACTTGCTTTTCCAATGGGACTTTCATCTACAGGTTTTTCTGGGATCACAACCCTGCCATCCTGTATCTTTTCAGCACTTATCAATTATTTAGGTAAATAATGGTCACTTATTTGTTGACCTCCCCATCCCTACCCAACACAAACCTTGGAGGGCTGAATCTTTGGTGACTGGGCAGTCCCTTCTCCAGCAGTTATGACCTGTTTTTGAGGGGACACGGCTATCATGTGACCCCCTTTCACAGTTACATACTGAGGGAGTGGTGACTGGCTGGCAGCTCCTGTTGTGGGCACGTGAGAGGCTTCACCAGGTTCCTGTTTGATGATTACCTTGCAACAAACATGATAATGATACTGAATAAACATCCCAAGAAAAAAAAGCTACTAACATCTGAATCTATTCTGTTCGTAGGAATTAATAAGTTAATGAAGCTTGGTCTGCAAAAAAAAAAAAAAAAGACTCCACCAGAAGGATAAAAACACTGCTTAAAGGTAGGCTATAATAGCTATCTCAGGGACCAAAAGTAGGATCTGGATTTGATCCTGTGTATGTGCAAACTCAATCTCATTGTTTGTTTTAGAGACTGGCAAACTGGCAGCAGAGAAAAACACACTGTACTCTCTGAAGTTCCCATCTCACTGGGCTCCAGGGCTGCCCTGTGGACACCACTGAATAAACAGAAGCATGTTTCCGAAGTAGGATCTGGTCTTAGAATTGAGCTCGACTAAAAAGTTACATGTTATGGGGTAGTGTCATTCAACTCCAACATGCCACAAAAAAGACTATGTATCAAGACCATATCAACTTGCAGGATAATGCCCTAAAAAATACTCACTTTTGTGAAAGCTCCAAGTCCTCCAGTAATAGGTTTGGGGCTTTGAACCTTAGGATGACTCCCAATTGGGCAAAGAGGTGGCATAGATGCAAATAAAGAATCTTCCTGCTGTGAATGTAAAAATACATATTATATAATTAGGATAAAATGCATGATTTGAGATACTCTATAGTCACTTATATTTAATACAAATCTGTGATATTCTCTAGCACCATAAGCAACCAAAACAGAAAGCCCAAAACTCTTTGGGGTCTTCCAAGCCTCCACACCTGCATTTTAATACTTTGGAAACCAAATGCAAAGAAAGGCTATTAACGTGGCAGGAACCTACTCACCTATGCTCTTCGTATGCTGGAGGACACCTATCATACCACCTAATACTGGTTGACTCACTGGTTTCCATGTCTAGTATCCTGCCAAATGGCAAACTACTAAAGGACAGGCACAATGTTTTACTTCTTTTCTATCTTTAGAGCCTAGGCACTAAATAAATAAATGAATAAAACAGGCAGTTACAGTGTTTCAGCATATACACTCTTCTAATAACACAACCTGATTTGTTATCTGTATTCAGAATAAACACTCAGGACATGGGGACACATTTTTCAATAAGTATTTAAAAAGCAAAACAACAAGAAGAACTTGAACAAATAGCAAGGACAGCAAAAGTCAACATTCAAAATACTCCAATTATCAAACACAAAATGCAAATTTCAGAGGCAATTTGTCATAAATAAATGTTGGGGGCAAGAAACAAAGTTAAGGCCCTGGCCGGTTTGGCTCAGCAGTTGGAGCGTCGGCCTGCGGTCCAGAGAGACCCGGGTTCGGTTCCCGCTAAGGGCATGTACCTCGGTTGCAGTTTGTCCCCGGCCCTGGTTGGTCGTGCGGGTGGCAGCCACTCGATGTGTCCCTTTCACATCGATGTTTCTCTCTCTCCCTCCCGCTCTATCTGAACAAAAAAAAAAAGGAAAAATGTCCTCGGGTGAGGATAAAAAAAAAAAAAAGAAACAAAGTTAAGGACACTACCTAACTGTGTAATGACAAGATCATCAACAAATATTTTAAAACAGACCAGCAAAGAAGAATGCCTTAAAGGGAATTACCACAGTTCAGGCATTTGTATAACACAGTGCCCACAGATTACACTGAATTTACAGAAAAACCTCGCCTTGGACCAGGAAACCATTCAATATTATCACCACTAAGTGCCTAAGAATAAGAAATGCTATGTTAGTACTAGTCATGTAAGAGATGATCTTTTAATTCATGGGAATTCTTACACAAGAGTTTATACCTCCAAAGCTCTAGCCTTAAGGCAGCCATTATAATGACAAATAAGTTGAATAACTAACCAAACAGCAGGGATTGTCTTTGCTAAACAGTGAGCAGATAGCTGGCACTTTGATCTAAACAAGTCAGATAATATTTGGAATTCCAAATTTCAAAGGACTTATTCCCTGAAAAATAAAAATTAAAAAAACTTGTGGAAAAAGGAATTATTTTCAAGTAACCAAATGGCTGAAGTGTGGAAAAGGAAATATATTTACTCCTTATTGGTGAAAATATAAGAAGGAATGATTTGTCTGATGAATATTTTTATAATGAATAATTTATAACAAAGCTACCCCCCCATCCACCCAAAAAATAGGCTGCCTCATAGTAGTAAGTTTTCAAATAGATACTGGGTAACCAATTGACAGAGTGCTGAGAAATACTTTTCTACACTAGGAAAAGATCAAGGGAAGAAGAAGGTAAAGAAGTCTGGAGTAAGACGATCTTCAAGATATTTATTATGCCCAGCCAGAGTGGTTCACTGGTTGAGCATTGATCCATGCACCATGAGGTCGCCGGTTTGATTCCCAGTCAGAGTACATGCTTAGGTTGTGGGCCCGATCCCTAGTGGGGGTCATGCAGGAGGCAGCCAGTCGATGTTCTCTCTCATCGATGTTTCTATCTCTCTTTCCCTCTCCCTTCTCTCTCTAAAAAATTAATAAAGAGAAAAAAATTTAAAAAAAAAAAAGATATTTATTAACCTGACGGTTCTACTTTATGAAATTTGCAACACCAACTAACAAATTACTGTTGAACTCAAACACACTGTCGTTAAAACTAGCAAAGTGCAATATAAAACTAGTAAAATGCAATGGAGTGTTGTTACCTTGACAGTAGATGTTACAAAACTACTTCCATGAATTTTAGGAATAGGGGAACCTGCTCCTTGGGAGGCCTGAGAGGCAGTAGAGAGCTTGTTTGTAGGACTTCCTGTAGACAAGGCAGATTTAAAAGTAAAGTATAAACAAAATAAAATTTGCAAAATTGAATTTTAAAGCCTTTTCCACTACCCTCCCCTTTTCCCCACTATTTATTTTTCATTTTTAAGGGTTGAAAACGTATAACCCTGAACTTGTTACAGAAGAAGCACTTAAGGATTCATCCTACAAAGGTGACCACTTCACTAACCTGGAAAGGGACAAGAAGTTATATAAAAAGATACTATAACATAATGAAATTGGTTATTTAACAATATGCCAAAATGTATACATTCAAGTAAATGCTAGCTCCTTCAAAGTAGTTTTACTAGAAGGTTATATTTATTTGAGAATGCTGACAACATTAAACATTTTATACTCCATCTGTAAAATCTCCTTTGAGGTCTGATAAGAATAAGTCACATTATCTACACTCAAAAATAAGTCAGGACCAAAAATGATATCTGGTTACCTACTCTTTTACCAAATTTGTCTGCTAAGATGTTTGGCTGATTGCTAAAACTAAGTATCCTCAAAGCACACCTATTTGGCATCCCTAAATATATTCAAAAGGCTCTTAGGTAATTTCTAAAAGCAGCCTTTTTAAAATAGGAGTTCCACAATTACAATCACTGTTAAAGAAACCAAATTTTCCAAAAACATAATTGGAACAGCCCAACACACATTCACATGTGTTAAAATCAAATATTTGAAAAAATAAAAAGGTTTCATTACCTTATAGTCATCTGTCTTATTTCTTTTTACTGTTTCTCTTAATTAGAAGTGAAAACTATAGGAAAGTTTACACTTAGGAACATGTGGTTAAATAGTTTAATTGAAGGGAATAAATAAAATCATGTTAATGAAAGTACTTCAAAAAAACCTGAAAAGCAGTCTGTAGTTACAGGAAAATATGATGACAAACATGGTGAATCCAAAGCCTTTTTATTTTTCCCATTAGCATTTTCTTTTAAAAATGGTAGGGTATAACTTCCCTCCCACACATAAAATTTATCTTAGTCATAGAAAGTAAAAATGACTTTTTTGTTTGCCTGGCAAAAAATATATATGGCTTACAAAGCTATTCCTGTACTAAAGCTTAATTTGGAAAAGTTAATTACCACATTGCTTGCAGGCTCAAAAAGAATGTCTTCCAAATGCAATAAAATCAATTCTCTCTCTCTTTTTGAAAATTAATTATGCTCACTTTTAATCTTTAGAAACTAAAAGGAAAAACTTAAGTAATTCCTAAAAATATAACTTTTACAAGGAGTAAACATTCCCTCAGAAAAATAGCACTAGTGTTACTCATATATCCCCTCCTCTTGTTTATGGATGGAGATTTCATTCTCTCATTGTATGGCTACTAGTCATGCTAGGATTTCATCTTTAAAAAAGATCACATCTTTTGGATCGCATAAATATTGATCAAACACACACCTGTGGTGGGAGTGGTGGCTCCAATAACCTGCCCTGGCTTGTCCATGATAACATAAGGGTTACTAATAACAGAGCTGGCAGTGCCTTGCTTCACATGGACTGGAGTGGAAGTTGGGGTTCGAGGCAATGGTGATGGACTTGGCGTTGATATGGGGGAACCTTTATTAATTAAAAAGAGAGAAAAATAAACTAAACAAAAATAGATATATTCAACCCATCTAAGAAGATGCTGGAAGATACTGAAAGAAGGGCAGGGCTGCCAGGACAAAGGTGACAAACTGGGAAAAGCGATGAGACTGTGTGTTTCAGGTACTGAGCAGCAGCAGTGTAGCTCTAAAGCCTTATCTCAGACTAGCAGCATCATCGGGAAGCTTGTCAGAATGAATTCTGCGGTCCTACCCCAGACTTACCAAATATAAATCTGTATCTGAACAAGTTCCCCTGCAGGCACATTAAAGTTAAAAAAGCAGTGCTTTACATAAGTGTGAAACTACAGAATCCCTACATAATAAAATCTCGTAACAACTTAGGCAGGTTGTTATAGTACTGGTTATGTGCAAAGACACTAAAATTAGGGAGGAAATTAGTAAGTGAACAGTTGAATTTAGGAACCAGGAGTCTTGAGTTGCAATTAATTTCCAATAGGAAAATATGAAATTCACCCACCCAAAACAAGTCTCTGTCAATACTATGTCACAGCCATAATCCAGAGAGATTCATGTTCCCACAGAATATGCTCAAAGGTTACCAACGTACCATTACCCATCCTCTACTGTCTTCTATTGATCAAATTTGTCATCCATGAGTTTCTCTAAACTTCAAACCAATATATACATTCAGCCTCTTCTACCTCTGAAGCAGCAAGTTCCAAAGTGCTTCTAACTGGTAGGTAAAATTATACATTCTTTACTTCTCATCACTTCAAAGACTTGGATCTTATTTCTGCTTAGTTTTCTATTTTTAACACCAGACTCCCTTTTTTCCCCCTTCATTTAAGTATTATACAGAAGCCTCCCAGTGCCTAAATATTTTTATTGATTCTCTTTCAGTCTTTTCTGAAGTGGTATGGCCAAAACCATAAAGTATATTCCCCTACTAAAGTTTACCTAACATAAATGTGAAATTGTCGTGAGGCAATGGACAATTTAACCTTACTGATAAAATAAAAAAGAATAATTTTTCTCATGTGGTTGGAGAGTATAAAAGATATTTCAACTCCAAACCAAAGCCTCTACATTTTTTCTATTACTAGTTTCTCTGGTTTCCATATATAATCACAAAACATAGTTCCTACTTTAAATTCAGCCATAATCCTAGCAAACATTTTACCTGTGCTGCTTCTAAGAGATAAAAATTTGACCTCTTTGAATTTCATTTTTTGCCTCATTCAAAAATTGTTTCCGTATAGATGACTTTTGTTTTTGCTTGGTGACACCTATGCTTTGCTAATAAAAGTGATTAGCTCACTTGTTAAATAAAAACCCTGCTTAGAAGAACTAAAAAAAAATTTTAGGCCACAGTATTTTGTTTTCTCACTAATAATTTTGACATATATCAATTTCACACACATCATCTGTATACCTGAAACAATCTTGCAGCTCATGGTGATAGGCTGGAAGGATTTCCCAGGTGACTCGGGGTTAGGAACCTGACTCTGTGGCACAATTTTGCAGCTTGATGCTATTGGCTGAAATGCTGAATTGCCATGAGAACAAAACATAACTTTCTGGGATGTTGTCATTTTGGTGGGTGTTCGTTCCAATGAAGATGGCAAAGAATAAAACGCAGTGTGCCTCTCAGTTTCAGTATTGGCAGGGAATCCTGCTTGAAATGAAACAGGCAGATGATAAGTCATTAAATCCTTTGAAATGATAAAATCTTACCATTGTGGGAAAAGAACGAAACAATAAAAATCCTTATCATTTCAAGAACTATTTAGGTCATCTAGTAGTACTAAAATAAATACAATCCATAGTCTTTATTATCCCTTTATACATTTTTGGGTGAAGTGTGCTAAAAAACAAATTTCAACTGAGCAAATTTTAAAGATTTTATTGGCTTTATTCAGTGATTCATGAATCAAGCAGCATCTGATCTAGCAGACAGAAAGGAGCTCCCAGGTGCTGCCAGAAGGACTTTTAGAGGCAGAAGGGAGCAGGTACAAGAAAGCTATATGAACAAAAATGGATTAGTTGTGGTAAGGTCACTTTCCTTTAGGGAATGGCAGGGGTCTATCAGACAGATTACTTATCTAGTGCTGATTAGGGGATTCCTGATTAACTGGTTTAAGATTCCATTTTTGGGAAAGGCTATAATTTTAAATTTCAGTTTGGTGATGTGAGGCATGGCATAAGTGACCCCATTTGGGACCTGTTTGTCTTGTTTTTGTTTGTTTGTTTTAACAAAAATAAATATGTCTAGAATCATATTTTGTTAAAATGTTTCTTTAAAAAATTAGAAAACATATTAACTATAAACTATACATAACATTAAAAAGTACACAAGTTCATTATGTTCTCCTTTTTTTTTTTAATCCTCACCCAAGGATATTTTTCTATTTATCTTCAGATAGAGTGGAAGAGTGAGAGAGAGGGAGAGAGAGAGAAACATCGACATGAGAGGGACACATTGATTGGTTGCCTCCCGCACAACCCCAACTAGGGCCAGGGACAAACCAAAACCGAGGTATGTGCCCTTGACCGGAATCAAACTTGTGAGTCATTGGTCCATGGGCTGATACTCTAATCACTGAGTCAAACCGGCCAGGGCTATTCTCCTGTTTTTTATATATGAATCAAAAACTGTATAGAAAGAAAAAACTCAAAAGAAAGCATTCACTTAATGATGTCCTGTATTATTAAATGCCCATAAAGAAGATGTCACTGAAATTTAAAGAAGAAAGTAGAGATTTTATAAAAGAACTAAAATGTTAACAGCACATAAAAATGTAGGCTAAAAGAGTAAACTAATGTCATTTAGAATTTTATTTCTTGGATGTAAGTTATATAAGTGAACACTTAAATACTTAAACATTTGTTGAGGATGAATCTTATATTTTAAATAAGCTTGGATATTTAATATTTAAATTTCTTGTTCACACAAACTGGGAACTGGACCAGAATTAGAAGAAATGACTATAAATCATGGAATGAAAATTTAATGTTTTTTAACTCCAGAAAAAAAACATGATTTTCTTCCACCCGAAAACCTGGCAAAATTCAATATATTTTCTGTATTTACTATATATAATCATAAAATGGCTTAAAATACATAGTATCTTTAATTAGTATCTACTACATAAAAGAAACGTAAGTCAATGAATTAGGTGCAATTCACTATATTTAATAAAAGGGTATGAGTGCAACGATAGGTTGGAAAGAGACATTAAGATCTATGCTCCAAGACAGTGATGATGACAGACACAATCACATCATAGGGCTGTTCTCGGATGGTTATTTACAGTTTCCTCATTCTGAGACCGATGAAAAGTAGTTTCTCCATTAGTGAAAAATACTGATGCAATTTAAAAATGCAACTGTATTGGACTGGCTGGTTTGGCTCAGCGGTTAGAGCGCCGACCCACGAACAAGAGTCCTGGGTTCGATTCCCGCTAAGGTACCTCGGTTGTAGTTTGTCCCTGGCCCCAGTTGGGGTGGCAGCCACTTGATGTGTCTCTTTCATGTCGGTGTTTCTCTCTCTCTCCCTCCTGCTCTATCTGAAGATAAATGTAAAAACGTCCTCGGGTGAGGATTAAAAAAAAAAGAAAAGAAAATGCAATGGTATTTATCTAAATTGGATTGAAAAGCCTTTATTAAGGTAAAAACAGGTCCTTTCCCTTATTTTTTCACACTTTTAAAAAAATGTGTCTTTATTATTGAAAGTATTACAGATGTGTCCCCTTTCTTCCCCCAATGACCCTCTCTGTCATACTTTTTTTTTTTTTATCCTCTCCTGAGGACACTTTTCCATTTTTGTTCAGATAGTGTGGGAGGGAGAGAGGGAGAGAGAGAGAAACATCAACGTGAAAGGGACACATCGATTGGCTGCCACCTGCACGATCAACCAGGGCCAGGGACAAAATGCAACCAAGGTACATGCCCTTAGCGGGATCCGAACCCGGGTCTTTCGGGACCACAGGCCAATCTCTGTCATACTTTTAATGCCTATCTTCTCTCTAATATGGTTGTTAAAATTCAGTGTTATATTTCCCAACCTCATGGACTTTGATAAGCCTTTTCTCTGAGTTAGCTGTTGTAAAAAGGAGTCTCAAAAGACAAAAGCATTTAAGAGAAAATGGATTTACGAAATTTGTGCTGTATAATCCAACATTAATACCACAAAGTCAGAACTAACGTTTTTTGTTAGAAGATCATTCAGTTACAGGAAATGTTAATGGGTTGGGTTCATTTACTTTGGTGAGAAGAAGGAGGTAGGGTGACTTTAGTTATCATTAGTGTATTTCATAGTGGAAGAGACTGTGTTTCTCCCTGCTCAGCTATAATTGAGACTTATGTTTAAGTCTCCTTCCTTAATGCACATATAGGTTTGTTCACTGATTTTTCCAATTCGCTACCATGAATTTGATGTTTTGCTCTATTTTATCCTGTGGGAAGAAAACTACCTATTTCTTAATAAATGATTTGTCACACTTAAATAAGATTTGTGGCATGGTGCAGTTTGCAACACTGATTTATTTAAGTATGTCCTAGAGAGGAGGAGGATAGCTTTTTGTTGAATCTACAAAAACAGTAATATAGCCCTGGCTGGTTTGGCTCAGCAATTAAGAGTGTTGGCCTGTAGCCCAAAAGGTCTCAGGTTTGATTCTGGTCAAGGGTATGTACCTGGGTTGCAGGTTTGATCCCTGACCCCGGCCGAGGCTGTGGGGAGGCAACCAGTCAATGTGTCTCCCTCACATGGAAGTTTCTCTCTTGCTCTCTCTCTCTCTCTCTCTCTCTCTCTCTTCTCTCTAAAAATCAATGGAAAAAGATCCTCAGGTGAAGATTACAAAAAAAAAAGACAATATAGCCATAAAAAAAAAAAAAAAAAAAAGATATTCTCTATTAAAAAAAATATGCTTTCCAGTGAGTTCTGTGTTCTACAAAATGTTAGTAGAACTTAATGAAAAATACTTTCTGAGAAAAGTAAACATTTGGGTATTTTCATAATAGGGCTGTGTAGTAGAGGCAGCATGCTTACTTATAGAAAATTTCCATATACTCTAAGTCTCTGAAGGTAGCAGTTCAATATCGTATTACACAAATGAGAGGAAGGAAAGCCCCAGAATGACACCTCCATACAAGGAAAAACATACTACCTTTCTCCACAGAGGTATCAGGAACTGGCTCATGTGACTGCTTTATTGGTGAGGAAGCTTTCACTGGGGCTGGAATGGTCAAAGGCAAAGACGGTGGGGCATCAGAGATGTCTGACTCGGAGGACTGAGGGTAAATGGCATCTTCTCCAAGAGAATGCCGGTGGAGCTCAACATCCACTACCTACAAAATCGGGCAATAATTGGACTCATGAATTCATCATCAGTATTCCAGAAAGTCCCAACCCTTCTAAGAAAATGTACTCTAAAAAATGTAACAAGTGATTTCTAATTATACTTCAAAGGTAATTTCAATCTCAAGAACTGAAGGATTATCCCAGAATATAATCTTTTCTGGTTTACTAGGTAATCAGTAAAACCAATCATAAAACTGAGGTCTTTCCATTTGTTGTTTCAAGGCCTTAGAACATTCTTCCCCACAATCTTTGCATATCTGCCTCTTAATCACCATTAAGTCTCGATCAAATGTCATCTTCTCAGGCCTTCCATAACCAACCTAGCTAAAGCAACTCTCCTGTCCCTAGCTACTCTCTTCTTCATAGCACTTATTTGTAAAGGAAATCTTATTTGCTTTTATGCATACTGTATACTATCTGCCCGTTCTCAATACAACCAAGAATACTTGAGAGTAGTAGCTATCTTATACAGAAATCTGCATCCTCATTACCTGTACCAGTGCCTAGCATGTACTATGTGCTCAATAAATATCTTCTGATATAACACAGAGTAAAGTATAACTAGCTAATTATAATGGCTACTGCTGATATATAATGGATTTCAAAAAAGGAGGAGGGGGTGGTAAAAAGAGAAAAAACAAAGTTGGAAGCCTCATACTTCCAGATTTCAAAATTTATAATGACAAAACTATTGTAATTAAAACAGTCTGGTACTGGCATAAAGATATATAACCACTGGAACAGAATACACCCTTACATATATAGTCAAATTATTTTCGACATATGCCAAGATCATTCAATGTGAAAAAGACAGTCTTTCAACAAAATGGTGCTGAGAGAGTTGGATATCCACATGCATTAGAATGAAGGTAGATCTTCACTCTACACCATATATAAAAATTAATTCAAAATGGATCAAAGACCTAAACAAGAAACCTAAAACAATAAAACTCTTAGAAGAAAATATAGGGGCAAAGCTTCATGACATTGGATTTGGCAATGATTTCTTAGATATGACACAAAAAACATGCAACAAAAGAAAAAACATAAATTGAACTATGTCAAAACTAAAATTTTTGTGCATCAGAGGATACAATCAACAGAGTGAAAAGGTAACCCACATAATGGGGAAAATGTTTGTAAATCATTTATCTGGTAAGAGACTAATATCAAGAATATAGAGAGAACTCCTAAAACTCAACAACAAAAAAACAAACTTGATTAAAAAATGGGTAAAGGATTTGAAGACATTTCTCCAAAGAAGATATACAAATGGCCAATAAACACATGAAAAGATGCTCAACATTAATTATCATTAGGGAAATGCAAACCAAACCTAAAATCAAATACCTATTGGGATGGTTACTATAAAAAAAGACAGAAAACAACAAGTGCTAGAGAATTAGAACCCTTACACACTGTTGGTGGGAATATAAAATGGTACTGCTGCTATGGAAAACAGTGTGGCAGTTCCTCAAAAAGTTAAAAACAGAATTACGGTATCATCCAGCAATCTCACTTCTGGGTATCTATCCAAAAGAATTAAAAGCAGGGACGTGAACAAACAGACCCATATTCTTAACAGCATTATTCACAATAGCCAAAATACGTAAGCAACTCAAGTGCTCACTACAGATAAATGGATAAACAAAATGTAGTAAAGACATAACAATGGAACATTATTCAGCCTTTTTTGGGAGGAATTTCTGACAGAGCTACAACACGAATGAACCTTGAAAACATTATGCTAAGTGAAATATGCCAGTTACAAAAAAACAAACACTGTATGATTCCACTATACTGTATCCAGAGTAGTCAAATTCAGAGAGACAGAAAGAAGGGTGGTTGCCAGGGGCTGGGGACAGAGGAAAATGGACCAGGGGATGACAGCACAAAAATGTGAATATGTTTAATGATTAACCGTGTACTTAAAAATAATAAGTTTTATGTGTATTTTATCACATCTAAAAAATAAACAAATAAGGGGGATATAAATGATTTTTAAAATTTAGCACTCATTCTTTTTTCTAACTAAAAGATGAATTTTCAGACTATTTGTTCCCAAATACTGTAAGGAAAAAACCTACCGTCTCTGCTCCAAGAGTCTGCAAACCAGTATAAGTTCTATCCAGCTATTTAAAAACAAAAGGAAGAGTTAAGTTTCACTGTGCTTGCTTATAAAATACAATCTTATCTAAAACCTCTTTCACAAGTGTTCACACCACAGGATCTACTTTTCCATGATATAAACAATCAATTCATCACTTCAGTAAAAACCCTCTTAATATTCTAGGGGAAAATTGAGTAAAATTAATATAAACAACCTCAGATATATAGTTATTTTACTTTTAATATAAACTATACTCTTCTAACAACCCATCCTAAGGACAATCTAAAAATGGAGAAAATTTTACACGAAAAGATGTTTACTGCAGCATTATCTATAACCACAAAAAATAAAAGCAATATTAATGTCCAGCAATAAAGGAATACTTAAGAAGTAAACCATGAACTATCAATTTGTGAAGTACATATTATGCAGCCACTTAGAGATGTTTAAAAAGACAATGTAAAAATATTTTAGGCTACATCATTTTCATATTCTCCAGTAAACAGAAATAACAGTCTCTCTGTAACCTGCACTGGCCTATGGTTCACTCTTGGGACCACATTTTAAGGGAGATATTGATAAAACAGAACTGTTACCTAATGGCTGGAGGAATTGGAAAGCATAACATATAATAAATGTTACAAGAATGGATTTTTGCCTGGAGAAGAAATGACTTAGGAGAGTCATTAATGCTATCATTAAACTTTTTTTTTTTTTAATCCTTACCCGAGAACATTTTTCCATTTTTTGTTCAGAGAAAGAGAGAGAGAGAGAAACATCGATGTAAAAGGGACACATCAAGTGACTGCCTTCCGCACAGCCCTGGTTGGGTCAGGGCCGGGTACAATCTGCAACCGAGGCACATGCCCTTAGCGGGAATCGAACCGGGGTCTCTCTGGACCATAGGCCGACGCTCTAACCGCTGAGCTGAGCCAAGCCAGCCAGGGCTCATTAAACTTTTTAAGCTGCTGCTGCTTCTTTTTTTAAAAATTTATTGAATTATTTTGGAGAGAGAGGAAGGGAGGGGAAGGGGGAAAAAGACAGAAAAAGAGAGAGAGAGAGAGAGTAATCAATCTGTTTTCCACTCATCTATGCATTCACTGGTTGATTCCTGCATGTGCCTTGACCAGAAGTCGAACCCACAACTCTGGCACATTGGGATGATGCTCCAACCAACTGAGCCACCCAACCAGGCACATTTTTAGAATTCTTATAAAACAAAACAAAGTCCTGTTCTGTGCTACTCCAGAAATCAAACTAGGACAAATGAGATCAAGGTTTTAAAAAAAAGGTAGTTTTAGGTATATTTATTAATGAGACTTCCAAACATGTATTTACTAAATGAATGAATGGGTTGTCTTGGGAATTACTGTGCTCTATGGTGATGGTTGAGAAGAGGTTAAATGACTGCCCATCAGGGATGCAGAATATGAAAATTTCACACATTCTGGACACTTAAAGAAAAAAATTTTTGTTTTGTTAATCCTCACCCAGGAATATTTTTCCATTGATTTTTAGATAGAGAGGGAAGAAGGGAGTGAGGGAGAGAGACAGAAACATCAATATGAAAGAGACTTATCAATTGGTTGTCTCCCGCATGATCCCGACTGGGGCCAGGGATCGAACCTGCAACCCACACACATATCCTTGACCAGGAATCAAACCTGTGATCCTTTGGTCCGTGGGCCAACACTTTAACTGCTGAGCCAAACTGGTCAGGGCTGGGCACTTGGAATTTTATATAACTCAAACACTTAGACTATTTATTTAATGTAACTACTTATTTTTTAACCCTCATCTGAGAATATTTTTTCATTGCTTTCTAGATAAAGTGAAAGGGAAAGAGAGAAAGAGAGAGAGAGAGAGAGAGAGAGAGAGAAACACCAATGTGAAAGAAACACTTGGATTGGCTGCCTCCTGCACAACCCCAACTGGGGCTGGGGATCAAACCTGCAACTGAGGTATGTGCCCTTGACCAGGAATCAAACCCATAACTCTTTGGTCCACGGACCGACACTCTAACTGCAGAGCCAAATCAGCCTGGGTTGTATTTATTTATTTATTTTTAAATTAATTTATTTTTTTTCCTTTATTGATTTTAGAGAGAAAGGAAGTGAGAAGGAGAGAGAGAAACATCAGTGAGAGAGAACATGGATTGGCTGCCTCCTACATGCCCCCACTGGGGATCAGGCCCACAAGTTGGGCATGTGTCCTGACTGGGAATCAAACCGGTAACCTCTTGGTACATGAGCCACACTGGGCGGACTATAATTATTTTTTTTAGAGAAAATATATTTTATTACCCAGGCTGGTTTTGTTCAGTGGTTAAAGCATCAGCCTATAGATCGAAGGGTCTTGGGTTCGATTCCTGGTCAAAGGCATGTACCTGGGGTGCAGGTCTGAGCCCCAGCGCTGGTTGGGGCACATGGAGGAGGCAACCAATTGATGTGTCTCTCTCATATCGATGTTTCTCTTTCTCTCTCACCTTCCCTTCCACTTTATCTAAAAAAAAAAAATCAATGGAAAAATATTCTCAAGTGAGGATTTATAACAAAAAAGTGTTTTTTAATTGATTTTAAGAGAGGGGAAGGGAGTGAAAGAGAGAAACATTGATGTGAGAGAGAAACATCAATTGTTGGCCTCCCCCCAACCAGGGATCAGACCAGCAATCTAGGTATGCACCCTGACAGGCAATCGGACTGGCAACCTTTCAGTGCACAGGATGCTGCTCCAACCAATTGAGCCACACCAGCCAGGGCTTAATGTAATTATTACAGTATCAAATATAGATTGTTATGTACAAGAGAATTCAGAATACAGACAAATCACTATGAGCTTAACTAGCCAAGAAACGTTATTGGAACTTGGAAAATGAAAGAATTCAAACAGGCATTGCAGGAGGGGAAGCGCATGAAAGAAATCACAAGAGAAGGCCCAAGGCATTTCCAGGGCATGAGGAGACTGACCAGGCTGGAGTAGGATGCTCATGCAGGGGATTAATATAAGATAATTTAGGGGAAGTGTGTTGAGTCAAAATTTGAAGGGTCCTGAATAGTAGGCAGGGGAGTCTGAACTTGAATGACACGAATTCAACCAAGGTTTCTCAGAGAGGAATACCATAATAGTTCTCCTAGTTTAGGAAGAGTAATCTGATGGTGGTGTGCAGAATAAACTGAGGTGGAAGAAGACAGATTAGAACTAAGAAGCTAATTGGGGGAGACAGTAAAAGTGTAGAATTAAAAAAAGATTGTGAAGAATAATGATTTGCAACGGAATGAATATTTAGAACAAAGAGGGAAAAATCAAAGATGGGCTCTGAGGGTTGACATAGAAATAACAAGGAAAATGATACTCCAATACAAATAAAAATCACATGGTCATAATACAGGTGTTTAAGGTTTCAAGGTTAATTGATACACAATAAACAGTAAAATTAAGTTTTCAAAAAACCTAACAAGAAATGCTTTAAATACGTCATTTTAAAATACTGTGTTTCAATCTTACCCCAGGAATTCTAAGTGATATGGAAAATACAAGATGTGTGAAAACTATGCAAACAACTTCCTTTATTTTAGGAAGAAGGGCTGGGCCCAGTGCACTATGAGATGGTATGTGTGGTGCTTAAAATAAGATAAAAAGAATGCAAAACTAATTTAGACCTTCTTCTTAAGTAAGTGGGACCATATTTTGCCCTTCTGAACAAAGTAGCTGTTAAATTGTTTATTTGGTTTTAGTTCTCTGAGGTCATAAAGCAAACTAGTCTCATAGTAAAGTCTAGAAAATAATCTGTACATGAAGTGAAGCAGTGCCGCTGTACAATGACTGCATAACAAGTACTGGAGGGCCAATTTCAGCATGCCTTAAGATTGAAAAGGTGCATTTACAGAACAAAGGGAACACAAAAGGAATTCTGCAGATGTACTCAAATTCGTTCAGTTCCATTTCGAGAGTCATTAACAAGAAAAAGGTGGTGCCCTGGCTGGTTTTGCTCAGCAGTTAGAGTGTTGGCCCACTGACCTGAGAGTTCTGGGTTTGGTTCCTGCTAAGGGCACGTACCAAGGTTGCAGTTGATCCCTGGCCCTGATTGGGGGTCGTGTGGGTGGCAACCAGTTGATGTGTCTCTCACATCTATGTTTCTCTCTCTTCCTCCCTCTCTCCCTCCTGCTCTGAAGATAAATGCAAAAATGTCCTCAGCTGAGGATAAAATAAATAAATAAAAATTTAAAAAAATAAATAAATAAAAGAACAAGGTGTAAGCCACAAGTAAGAGTGCTTTGGAAAAAGCTCAATATTAGGAAATGTATGCAAGGCTACTACAGAAAGGGCCTAGAGGAGTATTAAAAATGGTCTGGCCCGGCCAGTGTGACTCAGTGGTTGAGTGTTATGCCATGCACCATGAGGTCAGCGGTTTAATGCCTGGGCAGGGCACATGCCTAGGTTTCAGGCTCGATTCCCAGTTGGAGGCATGCAAGAGGCCTCGATGGAGAAGAATTGATGCAGGAGAATCGATGGTTCTTTCTCACATCAAAGTTTCTATCTCTCCCTTTCCCTTCCTCTCTCTCTAAAAATCAATAAATATATATTTTTTAAAAATGGCCTGTCTTCCAACTATAATACATATGTTTATTATATAAAATTGAAAAAAGGAAAAGGAAAACAAAACACAGAAAAAAAGGGCAGGGTAGATAGCCTGCAATGTTATTACTTCAATTATATATGCCAACATTTTGGTATATTTCTTTTGTGTTATTTAAAATCATGGTTGACCTCTTATACATATAGTTTTATACTCTGTGCTTTTTGCTTACTACATAATGGTAATTTTGCCCCAGGCATAAAAACACTTTGTAAAATATTATTTATAATAGTTATATTACAAATCTTGTGGATATATCAGAGAAGGATTTCTGATAATACAAATCAAAAGTACTACTACTGCCTGGCTGGTGTGGCTCAATGGACTGAGCGTTGTCCCATGAACTAAGAGGTCCCGGTTTGATTCCCAGTCAGGGCACATGCCCAGGTTGTGGGCTTGATCCCTACTAAGGGTGTGCAGGAGGCAGCCGATTGATGTTTCTCTCTCACATTGCTGTTTCTCTCTCTCTCTAAAAAAAATCAATAAAAACATATTTAAAAAAAAAAAAGTACCACAACCTTCATCCTGGCCAGGTGGCTTAGTTGGCTGGAGCATCATCCTGTACTCCACTGTGGGTTTAATTTTGGGTGAGGGCACATACCTAAGTTACAAGGTTTGATCCCCCGCTGGGACACATATGTGAGGCAACCGATCAATATTTCTCTCTCACGTCAATTTTTTTCTCTCTCTTTCTTTCTCCTTCTTTCTTGCTCTCTAAAATCAATAGAAACATATCCTCAGGTGAGGACAAATAAATAAATACATATATACATACAACCTTCTATAGTACTTAACATTTTCTAAAACATGTTCATTTCAATCATTACCCTTAAGAAATATATTCTTTTCTATTTTCTTCTTAAGTAGCATTTGAGAAACAGATACTTCGTTTCTAAAAAATATTTTTTAATTATTTTTTTTTATTTCTAGAGAGAGAGAAAGTGAAAGGGAGAGATAAACACTGATGAGAGAGTGAAACATCATTTCGTTGCCTCTTACACCCCTAACACCGAGGGGATTGAGCCCACAACCTGGGTATGTGATCTGACCAGGAATCGAACCAGCAACCTCTCAGTGCACAGGACTGCCTGAACAACTGAGCCACACAAGCCAGGGCAATAAAGATATTCTGTATTTTTTTATTATTATTATTTTTTTTATCCTCACCCGAGACATTTTTCAATATTTTGTTCAGATAGAGTGGGGGAGAGAGAGAGAGAGACAGAGAGAGAGAGAGAGAGAGAGAGAAACACTGACGTGAAAGGGACACATCAATTGGCTGCCACCGACATGACCCAACCAGGGCCGGGGACAAACTGCAACCGAGGTACGTGCCCTTAGTGGGAACCAAACCCGGGTCTCTCTGGACCGCAGGCCAACGCTCTAACCACTGAGCCAAACTGGCCAGGGCGATATTCTATATTCTTTATCCTTATGAGATAAACAGACAAAGCTTATTACAGAAACTCCTCACTTTAAGTCATTGATAGATTCTGTGATTTTAAGCAAAAAAGTTTAATGAAACCAAATCAACTATAGGTTAAATTATATAAACAAGAGTTGAGTTCCTATGACATTTCATCATTATAGTGACATTGAACAAAATGTTACTTGAGGACTTTCTGTATTTGCCTTATTTTATAAAAAAATAAGATTTATAAAAAAAAACAAAACCCAGGTAACACAATAACAGTGAGAAGTCTGGTAAAATATTCAAGTGTTCTGATGATCTGACCAATTCATCTTTTTAAAGAACACACATTCAACTGTAAAGCAGCCTCTGCCCCAACTCTCAGAGGACAAAGGCATTTTAGAGCAGTACGCATAACACATTCAAAAAGATTTATCCTGCTTCCACAGGCCGCGTCTCTCAGGAGACCTAACCTTCCATTTTCAGTACCAAGTGAAAGAGATACTTCATTTCTGGGAAGCAATGTTTTGTTACAATACCTTCAGGTTATGTATGATATCTATCCGCTTGTTCTGGCTGTCCTTAAAGTGAACTTGAACTCTGACAGGAAACTCACCCCAGCCTCTTCTGGTCAGATGAAAAGGAGGCTCTCTAGGGAAAAGCAGATTTTAACACATTAATCCATGTGTAATCATTCTAGAGAAAAAGTTTCCTCATAATGGGTAAGTTAAAAATTCAAATCCTTGCGTGGCTGGTGTGGCTCAGTGGTTAAATGTCAACCATGCACCAAGAGGTCACTGGGACACATGCCCAGGTTGTGGGCACAATCCCCAATGAGGGTCATACAGGAGGCGGCCTATCGATGTCCTCTCTCATCAATGGTTCTATCTCTCTCTCCTTTGCCCTTACTCTGTCTCGAAAATCAATAAAAAAATTCACATCCTTGCCCTGGCCGGCGTGGCTCTGTGGTTGGAGTATTAGCCTTTGGATCGAAGGGTCGTAGGTTAGATTTCCAGTCAAAGGTGTGTACCTGGACCTGGTCAGGATGCAACCAACTGATGTGTCTCTCTCTCATATCCAAATTTCTCTCTCTCCTCTTTCTCCCCCTTCCCTTCCACTCTCCCTAAAAATCAATAAAAAAAAATATCCTCAGGTAAGGCTTAAAAAAAAAAAAAAAAAAATCACATCCTCTGACAATCATTTACATTTCCTCATTTGAAACTAAATCAATATGCTGCATTATGCTAAAATGCTAAATAATTAAAGAAAATTTAACTTGCCCTGGCTGGTTTGGCTCAGTGGTTAGAGTGTCAGCCTGCGGTCCCGAGAGACCGGGTTCAGTTCCCGCTAAGGGCACGTACCTCAGTTGCAGTTTGTCCCCGGCCCTGGTTGGGTTGTTCGGGTGGCAACTACTCGATGTGTCCCTTTCACATCGATGTTTCTCTCTCTCTCTCTCCCTCCCTCCCTCCCACTCTATCTGAACAAAATATATTTAAAAAAAAAAAATGTCCTTGGGTGAGGATTTAAAAAAAAAAAAAAAGGAAAAATTTAACTCAAACCTATATTAAATGTTCAATTACTGGTTACTTAGAGCTAAGACACTTATACCATATACTCCAATGTCATTATTTTCGTAGACAAAGAACTAAAGTGAATTGATGGATGTCACAATATGAGTGAGAATCATTGACTGCTACTTGATAGACATGACAGACATAGGCTATGAAGTATACGTTCCTTACCCCAGACACTCATATTTATTTCTCACTCTGGCAAAAACAAATTATAAATACTCTATTTGAAAGTGACAATTTATCTAAATACATCTGCTAAAAGAACATAAAAGACCATATGCTCACAATATGATCTTTCCCAAATACTAACTACGATTTAAGAGGATGGAGAAAAAGTTGTGTGAATGCTAACTGGACTAAAGAATTTTCAGTCAAAACATAATTTGTAAAGGAAAGAAAAAGAAAATTGATGGGGGAAAAAAGACTAGCAAACTATTAACAATTGGTGTTGGGCACATGAGGGTTCAAAATATTCTGCTTCTGTACATGTTTGGAATATTCCATAATACAAAATTTTAAAATTTAATTGAGAGACCTCCATGTATTCAAAAATAATATGGCTTTAGTTAGTGGGGGAAAGAGAAAATGGTTTAAAGTGAAAATGTTCATTATGAATCACTGGTTTGGAGCATGAGAGAGGATGCCAAGATTGCAGGGAGAAAGGAATTTTCAGTGGGATGTGCCTGTGGAAAACTAAGGAGGGACATGAATTCAGTAATGGCAGAGTCCAAGAACATAACTTGGGAGGAGTCTAAAAACAGACCTCAATTTTGAAGCACAGAGCCAGACGTTACCAGGAGAGCCCAAGACAGAAAAATTCCCTGAGTATGAGTACCCTGGAAAGTAGAGAAAACAACAGCTACCCCATAAACCAGAGATAAAAGAAAGCAAAGAATACAAGAGTGACCCGAATGGAAGAAACCAGCTGAACACCAGCTGAGTTAGTAAGAGAAGTAGCCATGATGTTGGTAAAGATTCAGAGAGATATTAAAAGATAGGCCCTGCCGTGGCCGGTTTGGCTCAGCAGTTAGAGCGTCAGCCTGCAGACCAGAGAGTCCCGGGTTCGGTTCCTACTGAGGGCACGTGCTTTGGTTGCAGTTTGTCCCTGGTCCCAGTTGGGGTCGTTTGGGTGGCAGCCAGTCGATGTGTCTCTCTCACATTGATGTTTCTCTCTCTCTATCTCCCCCCTTCTCTCCCTCCTGCTCTATCTGAAGATAAATGCAAAAATGTCCTCGGGTGAGGATTGAAAAAAAAAGATAGGCCCTGACTGGTTGGCTCAGCAGTTAGAGTGTTAGCCAATGGACCAAAGGGTCACAGATTCGATTCCCAGTCAAGGGCACGTGCCTGGGTTGCAAGTTCGATCGCTGGCCCTGGTTGGGGTTGTGTGGGAGGCAACCAATCAATGTGTCTCTCTCTCTCACATCAATGTTTCTCTCTTTCTCCCTCTCATTTCCTCCCTTACACTCTATCTAAAAATCAATGGAAAAATATCCTCCAGTGAGGATTAACAACAACAAATAAGCCCAGGCAGTGTGGCTCCGTGATTTGAGCATCATCCCATAGACTGAGAGGTCCCAGTTCCATTCCCGGTCAGGGCACATGTCCAGGTTTCAGGATTGATCCCCAGTAGGGAGCGTGCAGGAGACAGACAATCGATTTTTCTATCTCTCCCTAAAAAGAAATCAATAAAAACACTAAAAAAAAAAGCTGAGGTGTCTTGTTTTCTTTGTAAGGAGGAGGGAAAAGATGATATGGAAGCACCAAATATGAGCAAGAAAGACATGCACCCCATACCTAGATGCAATGGTACATGGGGTGTGAGAGAGAAAAACAGCCACCACTTGAAAGTTGTTCTCTGGAGAAGTGGAGGTCTCAGGAGACAGCCTTGTGTTGTTTAAGAGACAGGAGTAGAGGACATGTTCTCAAGAGAGCTGAGGACATGCGATTTCTCAGATAATAAACCACAACCATTTCCACAACACATTCATACAGTGAATGTATGTGTGCTATGTAACATCATATAAAGACATAAAGACTATTCCTAAATAAATATTTTCAGAAGTGTGTGTGTATATAAATATAAATAAATTAAGTTATTCCATATTTGTGAACTAATAACAACAAATAGCAACTATACTAGGCAATATATGTATGAAAAATATCATTAGGGGTTATTTCTGAGAGGATTAGATCATGAGGAACTTTCAACATTAAATATTTCTGTAATGCTAAAATCCTGTTTAATTTATTATGTTATAATGTGATATCCACACAAAAAACAGTAACATTTTTATCTTTATCTATATATACAAGTTTAGCTGTTTCCAGAGAGCAGAATCAGCTAATATAATTCACATGGTTAACAACCTGAAAGGAGGGGACAAGTGCCTGTTCAGTGAGAGGGAACCACAACTAAAACACATTGTGATTAAAAGCCAAAGCTGAGCCCTGGCCGGTTTGGCTCAGTGGTTAGAGCGTCGGCCTGCGGTCCGGAGAGACCCGGGTTCGGTTCCCGCTAAGGGCATGTACCTCGGTTGCAGTTTGTCCCCGGCCCTGGTTGGTCGTGTGGGTGGCGGCCACTCGATGTGTCCCTTTCACATCGATGTTTCTCTCTCTCTCTCTCTCTCTCTCTTCCTCTCTCTCCCTCCCACTCTATCTGTGCAAAAAATGTCCTCGGGTGAGGATTAAAAAAAAAAAAAAAAAAAAAGCCAAAGCTGACTAAATTATTAATAATACAAGAATTTCAAGGGAGCCCTGGCTAGTGTGGCTCAGTTGGAGCATCGTCCTGTGCACCAAAAGGTGGTGGGTTCAATTCCCAGTCAGGGCACATACCCAGGCTACAGGTTCAATCCCCTACTGGAGTGTAAACTGTAGGCAGCCAATAGATGTTTCTCTCTCCCTTACTCTCTCTAAAATCAATAAAGTAAAATAAAATAGAGAGAAATGTAAGACTTTAAAAGTTTTATGAAAAAAAAAAAAAAGCCCCAGCCGGTCTGGCTCAATGGTTGGAGTGTCAGCCTGTGGTCCAGAGAGACTGGGGTTCGGTTCCCGCTAAGGGCGGGTACCTCGGTTGCAGTTTGTCCCCAGCCCTGGTTGGGTCGTGCAAGTGGCAGCCACTAGATGTGTCCCTTTCGCATTGATGTTTCTCTCTCTCTCTCTCCCTCCCACTCTATCTGAACAAAAAATGGAAAAATGTCCTCGGGTGAGGATAAAAATAAATAAATTTAAAAAAAAAAAAGAATTTCAAGGAAGTGTTTTCAAGTTAAATCACTTTAAAAAAATATTTTTATTGATTTTTAGAGAGAAAGGGTAAGGGAAAAAGAGAAACAGTGATGTAAGAACAGAACATTGGTCGGCTGCCTCCTACACACCTCTCAACTGGGAATGGAGCCCAAAACCCAGGCATGTGCCCCAAACAGGAATTGAACCAGCAAACTTTTGGAGCACTGGATGACGCCAAACCAACTGAGTCACACCAGTTAGGGAAAGCTAAATCACTTTTCTTCCACTTCAATAAATCTGTACTTCTTAGGTTAAATAACTCAAGTATGTTTACCTAACTTCCACAAGGTCATTTGGTTTATAGCTGGGATGAAGGAAGAACCAAACTTTCTTGACAAAATGATTAATGCTGGGTTCTCTACGAGACCCTCGCACATACACCATCCACTTGTGGGTTGACTGGTCATTTTCTTCTCTCTTATCGGGAGGTATATACCTAGAGAAGAAGAAGAAAAAAAAAACTAAATTATTTTTTTCCTTCAAAAACCTAACAAAATAACACCTACTTAAAACATGATTAAAAATAAATTACAAAAAGAAAACTGGAAAATTCACAAATATGTGGAGATTAAACAACAGCATGCTACTGAACCACCACTGGGGTCAAAGAAGAAATCGAAAGAGAAATAAAAACAGTATCTTGAGAAAACTGAAAATGGAAATACAACACAGCAAAACTTAAGGGATGCAACAAAAGCAGTTCTAAGAAGGAAGTTTATCCAATAAAAGCCTACATTAAGAAAAAAGAAAGATCTCAAATAAACAACCTAACTTTACACCCCAAGGGACTAGAAAAAGTAAAACAAACTAACTCGAAAGTTAGAATGAAAGAAATAACAAAGATCAGAGGAGACTAAAATGATAATAAAAAAGATAAAAGAATGAAAAAATGCTCAACGTCACTAATCATCAGAAAGGTGCAAATTAAAACCAAGATGAAATATCACCTCATACCTGTCAGAATGGCTACCATCAATAAATCAACAAACAACAAGTATTGGCGAGGATGTGGAGAAAAGGGAATACTAGTACACTGCTGATGGGAATGCAGACTGGCAGAGCCACTATGGAAAACAGTATATACATTCCTCAAAAAATTAAAAATGGAACTATCTTTTGATTCAGTGATCCCACTTCTGGGATTATATCCTAAGAATCCTGAAACATCAATTCAAAAGAATATGTGTACCCCTATGTTCATACCAGCATTATTTACCATAGCCAAATTCTGGAAATAGCTCAAGTGCCCATGAGTAGATGAGTGGATAAAAAAGCTGTGATACATGTGTAACAATGGAATACTATGTGGCTGTAAAAAAGGAAATCTTACCTTTTGCGACAGCATGGATGGATGGACCTAGAGATTATTATGCTAAGTAAAATAAACCAGTGAGAGAAAGACACCATATGATCTCACTTATATGTGGAATCTAACAAACAAAATAAACTGACGAACAAAACAGAAACAGAGGCGTGGATATACGGAACAGATTGATAGCTGTCAGAGGGGAGAGGGGGAAAGGGGACTGGATAAAAGAAGTTGAAGGGATTAGCCAAAGAAAGTATATGCACAACCCATAGATAAAGACAATACTATGGTGATGGCTAGGGGGGTGCTGGGTGGAGGTGGGCAAAGGGAGGTGGGGGGAGGGGGAGAATAAGGACATTTGTAATAGTGTCAACAATAAAAATAAAGTAAAAACCCTTGGCTGGTTTGGCTCAGAGGTTAGAACGTGGGCCTGTAGACCAAAGGGTCTTGGCTTCAATTCAAGGTCAAGGGCATGTACCTGGGTTGCAGGTTCGATCCCCGGCCCCTGTTAGGGTCATGTGGGAGGCAACCAATTGATGCATCTCTCTCACATTGATGTTTCTCCCCCCCCCACCCCCCTTCCAATCTAAAAACTAATAGGAAAATATCCTTGGGTGAGGATTAACACAAAATAATAATTAAAAAATAAAGTAAAAAAAATTAGGAGGTGGTTTTTTGAAAAGATAAACAACTAGAAAAACCTTTAGCTATATTTACCAAGAAAAAAGAGAGGACTCAAATAAATAAAATTACAAGAGATGTTGCAACTGATACCACAGAAACACAATGAATCATAAAAGATTATGAACAAATATATGCCAAAAAATTGGACAACCTAGAAGAAATGGATAAATTCCTAGAAACATACACTCTAACAAGACTGAATTGTGAAGAAACAGAAAACTGGAACAGAAAAATTTCTGTTAAGGAAATGGAACAAGTAATCAAAAACCTCCCAAAGAAAATTCTAGGACCAGATAGCTTAATGGGTAAATTCTACCAAACACTTAAGGAAGAGTGGATACCAATACTTCTCAAACTCCTCTAAAAAACAGATGAGGAGGGAACACTTAGAAACTCATTTTACAAAGCCAGCAAAGCCAAACAGGGATATTACAGGAAAAGAAAATTACAGGCCAATATCTCTGACAAATATAGATATAAAAGTCCTCAATAAAATATTAGCAAACACCCAAGTGTCCATCAATAGATAAGTGGATAAAAAAGCTGTGGTACATATATACAATGGAATACTATGTAACTGTAAGAAAGAAAGATCTCTTATCCTGAGATGACATAGAGGGACCTAGAAAGTATTATACTAAATGAAATAAGACAATCAGAGAAAGACAAATACCACGTGATCTCACTTATTTGTGGAATATAGTGAAAAAAAATAAGCTGATAAACAAAATAGACCCAGAGACATAGAAAGGAGTATGGTTCAGACTGACAAACCTCAGAGGAGGGAGGGGGGAGGAAGGATGGCTGAGATAAACCAAAGAACTTATATGCATGTATGTATAACCAATGGGCATAATCAACAATGCTGGGGGATAGGGGGAAGGATGGGGAAGAGGGTGTCTAGGGGGGAAAAAGGAGAAACATCTGTAACAAAAATAAATTAATAAAAGTTGAAAAAAATATTAGTAAACAAAGCTCAACAGTACATTAAAAGGATCATACACTACGATCAATAGGATTTACTCCAGGCATGCAAAGAAGCTGGACAGCTGTATCAATGTGAATATACCACATTCATGACATGAAGGATAAAAATCATATGGTCATCTTCATAGATGCTGAAAAGGCATTTGACAAAAAACATCTATTCATATAAAAACTCTCAGTAAACTGATTGTAGAGAGAACATACCTCAACATAATAAAGGCCACATACAACAAGCCCACAGCAAATTCAACAGTGAAAAACTAAAAGCTTTAGCCTTTAACATCAAAAACAAAACAAGGATGCCCCCTCCCCTCAACACTTTTATTCAACATAGTACTTAAGTCCTAGAATAGTAATTAGGCAAGAAAAAGAAAAGAGGCATCCACATCAGAAAGGAAGAAGTAAAACTGTCTGTATTGCATATAACATATTATATATAAAAAACCCTAAAGACTCCACCCCAGCCCTGGCCACTGTGGCTCAGTTGGTTGGGCGTCATCCAGTGCACTGAAAGGTGGCTCCAGTCAGGGTAGATGCCTGGGTTGCAGGTTCGATTCCCAGTAGGGGGTGAGAATGAGGCAGCTGATCAACATTTCCCTCTCACATTGACGTTTCTCTCTCTCTCTCTAAAAATCAATTAAACAATCTTTATTAAGCCTGACCAGTGTGGCTCAGTGGCTGAGCAGCAGCCCATGCACTAAGAGGTCACTGGTTCAATTCCCAGTCAGGGCACATGCCCAGGTTGCAGGCCAAATCCCCAGTGGGGGGGTGTGCAGGAGGCAGCCAATCGATGTTCTCTCTCATCACAGTTTCCATCTCTCTCTCCCTTCCTCTCTCTCTAGAATCAATAAAGAAAAAAATTAAAATAAAATAAAAATCTTTATTAAAATAAAAGACTCTACTGTTAGAATTAACAATTCAGTAAAGTTAGAGGATATAAAATCAACATAAAAATCAGTTGTGTTTCTATATACTAACAATAATCTATCAGATGAGAAACTGAGATAATTACACTTACAATAGCATCAAAAACAAAATACTTAGCAATACATTTTAACCAAGAAGGTAAAAGACCTGTACACTGAAAATTATAATACACTGATAAAAGAGACTGAAGAAGATACAAATAAATTGAAAAATATTCTGTCGACATGGATTAGAATAGTTAATATGTCATGTTAAAATGTCCACACTACCTAAAGAGATTTACAGATTCAATGCCATCCCTATCAAAATTCTAAAAGTATTTTTCACAGAAAAAAAAAAAAAATCCTAAAATCTGTATGGCAAGAACAAAGCTGGAAGCATCCCACCAACTGATTTTAAACTAATTACAAAGCCATAGCAATCAAAACAGTTTGGTACTGGCATAAAAGACACATGATCAATGGAACAGAATACAGCTCAGAAATAACCTCATGTATACATGGTCAATTAAAAAGGAGCTAAGATATACAATGGGGAAAGGATAGTTTCAAAAAATGGTGTTGGAAAACTGTACAGCTACAGTTGTCCTTGTTTATCACAGTTAATCCATTCCAGACTCTAGTGGTTGCACCTGGCATTGAAGGATTCCTGGGGTGCTCAAATACATAGGTTTATAGTCCATACATACAGTAATTTTAATTTTAACTGTAATACGGGGGGTGTATAATTGACTCAGACAACCAAGAGAACACTGTATCATTTTCACTGTCTCGATCAACATTTTTTTTTTTTTTTATCCTCATTCGAGGACACTTTTCCATTTTTTGTACAGACAGAGTGGGAGGGAGAGAGAGGAAGAGAGAGAGAGGGAAACATCGATGTGAAAGGGACACATCAAGTGGCTGCCACCCGCACGACCAACCAGGGCCGGGGAAAAACTGCAACCGAGGTACATGCCCTTAGCGGGAACCGAACCCGGGTCTCTCCGGACCGCAGGCGGACGCTCTAACCGCTGAGCCAAACTGGCCAGGGCTCGATCAACATTTTAATGAATATATTTGAAAAAATCGCGACAGAGTGAAGCCACGAAAGTTGAAGCTCGAAGTGGCGAGAGTCGAATGTATATGCAAAATAATGAAAACCCTAGCCTGGCTGATGTGGCTCAATGGTTGAGTATCAACACATGAACCAAAAGGTCGCCAGTCTGATTCCTAGTCAGGGCACATGTCCAGGTTGTGGGCCTGTTCTCCAGTGGGGGACATGCAGGAGGCAATGTTTCTATCTCTCTCCCTTCCTCTCTCTCTAAAATCAATAAGAAAAAAAAAAAACACCCTATCTACACCATACACAAAAGTCAACTCAAAATAGATTAATGACTTAATTTTAAGACTCAAAACAAAAAAAAACTCCTAAAAGAAAACATATGGCATAATCTCCTTGACATTAGTCTGGGAAATGAGTTTTGGATTTGAAACCAAAAGCAAGGGCAATAAAAGCAAAAATAGTAACTTTTGTTTTTTTATTTTTGG